TAAGTCGTGAAGCCTCAGCTGCAACAGCCGGCTTCTCGGCACCAGGGCCTGCAGCTAGTTAAGGACGAAATGTTTCGGAGTTCTATAATGCGCAACCGTCCATATATAAGCCCTTGAGAGACTGGCTAGTCTGAGTGATGTGCTTGTGGGGAAAACTATCATGCATAGGTTTCAACGCGTGCCGCTGCAGCTGACCAGACTAGGCGTTGAGCATCGAGCCTCTGGCTTCTAGGTTACCGCCCTCTGTGGAGTGTACAAATTAATCCGAGTTTCCACACCTCGTCAAGAGTATTTAGTTTGTGCAAGCTTGAAGGTTTATGTCAGGGCGTCCTGCCACGGGATTAAGCATGTAGGTACCTGCTGGAGGAACCGTCGTCAGCACGAGCAACAGACACACCTTCTATAGGTTCCTCCAGTTTCCTCTATTCATACACTGTGGGTGTTTCTGTAGTGGTTGCTGCTGTCTTGACTGATGCTTGGGGCATCTGTGTTACTGTTTCTGCTACGGTTGCTGCACCAGCCGTCGCTGATCTCTACAAGGGCAAAGGGCTGGGCAGGCGGAAGATGAAGTCAAGGAGTGGAGCTGCAGCAGCTACGTCACCACCGGAATCTGCTACAACTACCCTCCCCTAGTTCTGGACTGCGCTGCTGTGAATGCGCCACCCGTGTCGGCAGCGACAGCAAAACACCAACGGGAGGGACGCCGCACCAACAAGTACCTTAAAGAGGCTCCAGCGAACCAAAACACAATATTAAAAGGAAAGAAAGAGGTAGCTACCTCCTGATATTGTTGTTGGATCAGGCGATTGATCGGGGATTGTTTCTGGTGGTGGGAGGTGTTCGGGTTCCCAGGGCCCCACGAGCAGCAGCAACCGCTGCAATGGACTTCTCTAGCTGCACCCGCTGTGCGCGTCGACCTACGGTGGCAGAAGACATATGCCCTATCTTACAGATGGTAAGTAATTGGTAACGGTTTAGATGACAACGATAGCAATAACTTGCTGCTGATGCTGTCTTCAGCCGTTTCTGAAGCTAACTCAGGGGCAGCAACAGTAGCTGTCCGGACCAGGGCGAAGCGAGCAATCACTCTAGTGCATTGCGTCCTTCCTTTCCTTCTTTGAGATTATTGAGTCCTGAAATACAAGCTTTGAGTGGGTCTTAAGCAACTGCTGCTGTTGCTGTTGCTGCAGCGGCGGCAGCGGGAGATGGAATCTCCTGGGCAGTGGCGGCCATCGTTCAGACGCCACCGGCAGCTGCGCCTGCATCTATACAAGCAGGTACCTTCGTACTAAGAACTAGACTCTCAGCCTCAAGAGCAACACAGCAGCCGCAGCGGCAGGAGGGCCGAAGCATTAGCAGCAGCCGCACAGCAGCACGAGCGGCAGCCACAGTGATAAGACGGCAGGAAAAGCGGAAGCCTACGGCTACGGTTAGCTGCAGCAGATATTGTGTGTTTTTTGTGGAACCAAGATGAACCAACGACAATAGCAACAACTTGCTGCTGATGCTGTCTTCAGCCGTTTCTGAAGCTAACTCGGGGGCAGCAGCAGTAGCTGTCCGGACCAGGACGAAGTGAGCAATCACTCTATTGCATTGCGTGATGTGATGCAGCAGCCACGGAGACGGCAGCAGCAGCTGCTGGAGTTGCAGCAGCCACAGTCGCAGGAGGAGCAGCAGCCGTTCCTCGAGCAGCAACAGCAGGAGCCACCACTAGAGGAGCAGCAACACCAGCAACACAAACACCTCCTAGATCAGCAACTGCAAGAGAAGCAGCAGAAGCAATTACAAGACCACCACCAGCAGCAACAACAGGTGCAGCAGCGGGAACAACTACAACAGCAGCAACAGCAGCAGCACGTGCAGTCTCTGGAGCCTCGTCATCCACCTGCCAGACAACAAGCAGAACCCCATGAGCAGCTACAGCATATTGTGGGCCGGTTGCACAGGGAAAGCATCCTAGAGGAGCAAGTGGAGCAACAGAAACTGCTCCTGGAGCAACAACATGAGCAGCAACAGATGTTGCTTCATCAACAGCTACAACAGTTTCAACGTCTTGAACAGCAGGGATTGAGCCTGGTAGAGCATCAGCAGTTGGCCAGACGCCACTACATAGAGCAGCAAACGCTGCTGCAGGAGCAGGAGCAGCAGATGCGTCGACTGCAGTCCTATCAACACGAGCAGGTGCAACAACATGAGCATCGTCAGCTGCAGCAGCAGCTGCTACGACATCGTTCTTTCTGTGAGAAGCTTGGAACAGCAGGTTCCCGGCTGCAGCCTTCGGGAGGTCGTGGGGGTAGCCGCCGAAGCTCTAGCGAACTGCCATGCGGCCTTGTTGCAGTGGGAACAACAGCTGCCGTAGCAGGAGGTGCTGCTGCTGTTACACAAACTCCTGCTAAAGCAGCGACAACCACTGCTAGGGCTTCCGACGCCACAGCACCCACTGCTACGGCAACAGCAAAATCAACGGACACGGAGAGAACGAGATTTCCCGCTGCAGCGGCCCAGCTGATGAGGGGCTGCCTCTCCAAACAACTGTGTGGACCCCAGTTTTCAGAATTGGCGCTGCTGCCTCGATTATTTCATATCCTAGCGCACCCCAGAAAAATTAGAAGCAGCAGCAACAACAACAATAATGACTGGGTGACAGGCGAGAGCAACAACAGCACCGGCAGCGTCAGCAATCACAGCACTGGCAGCAGAGAACTATATATTCAGGCAGCGGAGGTGTTTGCTCGGGAGTTGCTGGTGGGTGAACGGTTGGCGCTGCCTCTACGTTTGTCTCTGTTAGCTTTTTTGGTGCTGGTGCTGTTGCCTTCTGTCTCTGGGAGGGCTGCTGCAGCTGCCGCAGCGGGTCGTCCGTGCTTGAGCCTCTCCACGGTGGCAATAACTGTTAGAGAGATGTGCAATTCCTGTAAATGCTGTTGCTGCTCCCACGTCTGCGGCTGTTGCTGCGGCTGCTGCTGTTGTTGCGCCTGTTTTGCTGCCCGCAGCGCCGCAGTGTGTTGCGCGACCCCATTTCCGCCATGAAGGCACTCATAGTGGCGCATAGGCTTTTGGCACAGGTGGGGGTATGGGTTTTAGGAAGATCTAAAGGCGTTCTTGCTGCGAGGATGTACTTTTAGTTTTAGCAAACAGGCTTGGGGCTTGGAGCTTAGCGTCTAGGCACATGCGTTTAGCGATGGAGTTTGTGGGCAGGTTCCCGTCGATGCCTTCCTTGGGTCCTCTCTACAAAAACTCCCCGGGCAAATCCTCCGCATTTGGTCGGCAACGGCATTGCATCCTGCAGCAGCAGCAGCAGCAGACGGGAACGTGGGTACAGCTTCCGCACGACCTGCGATAGCGACGGCCAAAGCAGCAGCAGCAGCCGCATCTACCGCTGAGGGTGCTGTTTGTGCGTGTGCTGATTTCTTCGCGGAGAAACTGCGGCTTCATCTGCAGCTGGTAGACTGCTGCACAGGTGAGAAGCTATAGCACCAATACCTGTTTCTGCTGGTGCAGCACCAGGTGGGGCACGGACTACTGCAGAAGGAGCAGCATCAGCCGCCACATCAGTCGAAACAGTACTCTTTGATTGCGCGTATTGGGACAGCCGAGAAAATCTTGTTGCATCTCCCTCATGCTCTATTCTGCGATAGCTGCCACTGCTGCAGGGACTTGGTCGGTATCTCGATTTCTGCGCGCAAATGGTGTGTCTCTCGAGACACTTGTGGCTTTTGAAGAGGAAGGTGTCGTCGCTCTGAATGCATCTGTTTCTTTGCAGTAAGTTAGTGCTGCAGCTGCAGCTGTACTGCTGGCGTCGTGCTTGCATTAGCAGCTGCTGTGTTGGAGATGAGCTAGCCCTTCGCAAATGTCAGCACTATAAACGTCGGCTCTTAACGAGTCACTGAACCAATCTCAGTAGAAGTACCCTGTAGATTGAATGGCGGTAGTCAATGGACTATGCTTTGGTGCCTGAGAGTAGAAGAGAGTTGATAAACTTCTGCGTCACAACAGCGGAGGCGGCATGTGCAGGCAGAGCCGTCCCGTCAAGTGAGCTCACTGTCGTGCTGGAGCAACGGTAAAAGTGGCAGCAAAGCAAGAGATTCTGCTGCGGCACCTGTACCTCGGGCAGCAGCGGAAGTTGGTGCAGCAAGTGCTGCAGGAGTAGTTGCCTTTGAACCAAGTGCTGCTGCGCTGCGCTGCAGGTTGGTTAGTATGCTACACCGCGCATGCACTCTATGTTTACTGCTGCTGCAGCAGAGGGGCACGAGCCTCTTTGCTGTGAGCAGCATTTACTTGGTGCTCCTTGTCGATGACATTTGGGGAGTAGCTGCGCTGCTGCTCCGGCTGTTGCACGCACTGCTGCAGCGTTGTATGCGCCCAGCAGTGGCTGCAAGTGGGGGCGCGGCATTGGTGGCAATTCTAGTTTCTCTTGCCAATCCGCTAAAGGACGCCCTTAAGGATATGCAATTAGCTGCAGGTACGTCCGGACAACAACAGCAGCAACAGTATCAGTAGCAACAGCAGGACCGGCAGAAGCAAAATGATGGGGTTGGGAGCTCTGCTCCTCCAGTGTGATATTTGAATTGCTTTTGGCTCTGCAGAGAAGTGTGCTGCTGCAGCGAACTGCTGCTCGCTGTTGCAGCGCATGCGCCCCCCACCACCTGAGACGCTGCTGCTTCTTGACGACTTGAAGAAGCAGCACCAACAGCAGCAACAGTCCTCGCGGCTGCTGCTGCCGCGGACTCAGCTGCTGCCGTACAGGCCTTCTTCTGCCGCACGGCGGTCTATGCAGGCTGTCGCGCAGCTGCCATTGCCAGCTGACCTGGAGGCCGTTGCTGCTGCTGCGTCGGCAGCGGGGAGAGAAGCGGCAGCAGCAGCAGCAACTGCAGACGGCAGGTGGATTGAATTTCTCAACATTGAGGAGGTGTATTGGCTGGTCAAGGGAACCTCGAAAGAAATGGAACTGGTGCTGCAGGAGCATCCCAGGTGCCATCGCAGCAGAAGTGCTCGCAGCACCAGCAGCAGCAATAGCAACAGCCCCAGTGGCCACAGAGTGGGTGTCAGCACCTGCCAGAGAACTGAACGCGAGCAACAAGAATGTTGCCAGTGGCAAGGCCTAGCACCACATCCTGCAAGTGAGGAGGCAGAGACTGCTAGAGCAGCAGTGCCTGCTGCTATGGTTCCTGCAGAATCTCGCCATTTGTGTTTCAGCACCCAGTGCAGTAAAAGCTCACCTGCAGAAGGAGGGTCAGATAAGACAGGCCTTCAAAACCACAAGCAGCACGCAGAAGACCAGCAACGGCATGCACAGCATCCGCTATATCAACAGCAGCAGGACAGGGAGATCGCTGTAGGCTCGATTGGAGGAGACTCTAGGGCGGCAGCAGGTGATGCCGAAGTGGCATTCGCCCCTCCGGAAGTTACACTAGTTGCCACTCGTGGTGACCCAATTAGTGGTACTTCCGCTGCGCCTCCTGCACTAGCGGCACCAGCAGCTGCATCTGCTGATGCTGTCCAGGGTTCCCCAGCCGTTGCCTCCTTTGATGCTGAATTGCGGTCCCTTACTTGGGGGGTTCATTCTCTGCAGCATACAATTCAGCAAAGAACGCAGCAACAGAATGTTCTGCACCCGCAGGAGTGCCAGCAGGAGTATTGCACGCAGCATTACATAAAACAGTATGAGCTGCAACAGCAGCAATGCCTGCAGCAGCAGCTGACGCAGCGGCAATCAATCCAGCAGCAGGAATACCAACTACCACAGGATCAGCAGCAGCAGCAGCACGTCGGTGTGGCACTGCAGCTACAACAGCTGCAACAAACAGGAACGCCGGTAGAGCATTCGCAATCGAGGCACCAGCAGCAGCAGCAACGGAAGCAGCATTGGCTGCACAGCAGCGCAGTCGACACGTTGGGTCCTCCCGTTTGTCAGTCTGAGTTCCCACAGCAGGTAGCTTTGCAGCAGCAGCACCAGCAACTGCAACAGTTGCAGCAACAGCAGCCCCTTTTGCAGCACCCGGATATGCTTCAGCAGGCGCAGGTGCAGCAGCTTTGCCAGCAGCCTGTAAGTCAGCAAGAACTTCAACTGCAGCACCTGCAGCAGTACCAGTTGCAGCAACAGCTTCTGCTTCACCAGCAGACGCAGCCGTCATTGCTACAGCATCAATCATACTATCTACAGGAGAACCAGCAGCTCTGCACGCAACCCCAGTATCAGCAGCAGCAGTTCCCGCACCAGCTGCAGCACCTACTGCAGCTACAGCGGCAGCAGCAACAGCTACAGCAACAGCAGATGCAGCAACAGCGGCTGCAGCAGCAGCTACACCAGCACCACCACAACCAGCTGCTGCAGCAGCAGCAGCAGCTGCAGCAGCAGCAGTTACAGCAGCAGCAGCTGCAGCAGCAGCAGTTACAGCAGCTGCAGCAGCAGCAGCAGCAGCAGCAGCAGCAGCAGCTGCAGCAGCAGCAGCTGCAGCAGCAGTTACAGAAGCAACATCACCACCAGCTGGTACAGACTTCAGTTTGGCGCGGCATGGTGGAAGGGCCGAGCTGGTCTGCGACGCCGCCCTCAGCAGCAGCAGCAGTACCAGCAGCAGCAGCACCTGGTGGGGCAATAGCACTGGGATGCGACTGTGTGGCTTGCCGCTGCAGCATTGGCCGCAGCAGCTGCTGCTTGAGGGGTTTGAAGGCCAGGCTGGAGGCTCTTAATCTTGGTGTAGACCCTAGGGAACTGAAGATAAACTATAGGATCGGAAGTGGCGCTTCAGGGACAGTTCTGAAGGCAGCATGGAGAGGCTGCGATGTGGCAGTGAAGGTGCTACCGATGGTGCAGCAGCACCTGTTGCAGCAGGAGCAGCAGCAAGGGCGGAGAGCGTCTGCTGCCGCTGCTGTGGCAGCTGCAGCAGCAGCTCGAGAGCTACAAATTATGAAGCGGCTCAGGTGCCCGAACCTCGTACTGCTAATGGGAGCGTGCGCTCTGGATGCCGACGGTGTGTGCAGCAGCAACGGTAGCATTGATGAAAGCAGCAGAAACAGCAGCAGCAGCCCCCTCAGTTCGAACAGTGCTGCCGAGCTGCTGGCAGCCAGCGGCTGTTGTGGTCCGGGTCTCGCTGTGGTGATGGAGTTGTGTGCTGGGGGGAGTTTGTTTGGTTTGCTGCACGGGAAGCCAGAGGATGCTCTTGCTGCTGTTGCTGTTGCTCCTTCTGATGCCCCTGCAACTGCTGAGGCGGTGGAACTTTCCTTTTTTCCAGAGGGTACAGCTGCGATTGGGATGGCTGTTCCATCGTGTGATGCTGGCGCTTTTACATCTGCGTCTGCTGTGGAGTCTAAGGCGCCGTTTCAAGACTCGCCGATAGTCCCCCGATGCGGCACCCTCGGCGGTACAACAGGCGCAGCAGCAGGTACCGCCCGAAAAACGGAGGCAAAAGATACAAAGGCAATCATCTCGACAGCTACAGCAACGTATGACGCCTCTGACTGCCGAAAACAACAAGAATATCAGCAGAAGCGCCGGCATCAACAGGAGCAGGTGCAAGAGCCACAGCCGCTGCCGCAGCCCCCGCCCCAACTGCCTTCGCAGCAGCTACCTCCGCAGCATCAGCAGCAGCCGCAGCATCCTCACGAGCAGCGGCGTCGCTTGACTTGGGAGCAGAAGCTGAAGGTCGCGCTTGACGTAGCTCGGGGTTGTGCCTACCTGCATGCATCGCAGCCCCCAGTTGTTCATCGGGACCTAAAAAGCCTCAACATTTTGCTGGTCGAGAGAATCACCAGCGACAAACAGATGCCGGTCGCAAAGGTAGAAACAACCAGCAAGACAACTGCAACTATGCTGCAGCCTTAACTCCTGTTGCTATTGGGTGCATTGGCTTTTATCCGTTCGTTGTCTTCGGTGCAGTTGCCGCTCAAATTCTGTGCAGGTCTTCAAACTGGTGCATCGTCTGCTGTGTCAGGGGTTGTTTGATGACTGATCCTGCTGCCTTCAATGCTTCTGCTATGTTGCAGGTTCTGCCTTCTTGCAGTGTTGCTTTGTTATGTGTGGATGCCTCTGATTGTGTAACAGCAGCTCGTACTGCAGTCGGAAGTCTCGATTGGCTGACTGTTAGAGAGTTGTGCTGGGTGGTTCACTTTTATCGACTGGTGGTGACCGTCTTTCTGCCTCTGCTGCTGCAGGTAGGGGATTTTGGTTTGAGCCGTTTGGCCACAGCAGCAGGCTGCAGTGACGATTCCTCCTCTACACCGGCTGCTGCTGCGGTGGCTGGAGCAACCGCAGTGCGACTAGGGGGGTGCTCCTATAAGGCAGCGCCTACACCTGCTCCCATAAGGACACGGGCTGTAGGCACAGTGCATTGGATGCCGCCTGAGGTAATGCGGGGTCTTCCCCAGGGCCCCCCCGTTGATGTATTTGCTTTTGGCATCGTTCTGTACGAGTTGGCTGCTGAGGCGCTACCCTACCTCCGACCGAGAGACACCCCCTTGCACCAGCCCCAGCAGGAGCACCAGCAACATATAGATCGGACGAATGTTTGGCTGCCTCCTCCCGGAGACATATGCGCCGCAGTGCTCAGAGGGGAACGACCAGACGAGCGTTTGATTTTGCCCATGTGTCCGCCCGTACTGCGGTGAGCGAACGTGTTTCACTAGGGTCCGAGCATGGCAATTAAGACTAGTTTAGCGTTTGGGGCTTAGGGTTTAGGGTTCTGATTGTGTTGCTTGCAGGAACTTGATGCGCCGTTGCTGGGCTGAGGATCCCTGGGAGCGGCCGACGTTCGCTGAGGTCGTTGAAGAACTCAAGGCGGCTTTACAAACATCCTAACCTGGTGCAGATTATTCTGGCATACAGTGAACGGAAGCTGCGTCCACAATAATCACTGCAGATTCTGATGTTACTGCTGCAGGAGTAGCAACCCAGAAGGCCACACAACAATAGGTTCTGGAGAAGGCCAACGGCGTTTGCTCCTGCTTTGTTTTCTGCTGCCGCTGCCGTGTCGGCGGTGGAAGGTAGTACAGAGTTCGCCTGTACGCATCTCACAGGCACCATTTGCAGAAGATGGAGAGAGGCACCCATGAGATATTGCGCATGCGCAGGTCATCACGGGTTCTAGGAGGGAGAATCCGGGGAGACGCTAACGCCTACCGTGTTCTTGCCCATTTTACTCCAATACGCACTTTGTCAAGCCTTTAGCGTGTGGCGTTTAATTCATATTTGTTATCAAAAGAGGAGGCACGACTGTGTCCTCTCCTGCACTGCAGGAAGAGCAGGCAGCCACTCTCAAACCCGCTTGGATAGGGTCTAGGGGCTAGGCAGTATGCTTGCCGTAGGCGTGAGACCTTCGTCTGGACCAGCCCTGCTGTCTCTTCGAAGTGTGTCTTCCAAGGAAAAGCACACCAGGAATGGAGGCACTTGAGAAGCAATATGTAGAACCGACGCTGGGGGTGGTGTTTGTGTGTAGACTCTCAACGCTTCACATGCATGGTTTTGTCAATTCGCCGCATGAACCATCAAATGCAGCCAAAAGCTATTGCAGGTGACATCTCGTGTGTCGAGTTGCTGCAGAGTGCATGTGGCGGTCAGTGGCAGACACAATACGGAGACAGAGACAGATAGACAGAAAAGGCTACGATGGACACAGCAGAGCCTGCTCCGGTGTGCGCGAGCTGGCGGGGCCCTCCCATGGCAGGTGCCCCAGCGGGCGCCGAGGCCGGAAGAGAGGGAGCCTCCTGATTCCGCCACAAGGAGGAGTCCCAATGCCCAAAACTGGCGGTCGCCTGATGACCTGCAAAGGCAGCACCGGCGGGACGTCTCGGAAATCAACAGGAGATACTAGCGGCCTGCTGTCAGGAAGCTGGGAAGAATTCCTGGCTTCTTCCACATTGGCGTCGTGGGGCCCTCCCTTGTCTCAGGTGAAGCGGCAGTAAGCCTGGGATTCTGTTGCTCAGACAGGGAATGTTCAACGGCGGTGAGGTTGAACATGTGCCAGCGAGAAGGGAGGGGGAGAACCTCTCTGGAGCCATTTCGTGTTTTCTGATGACAATCTAGCTATGAGGACTACAGGCTTGTGGCCGCACGCTCCGTGTTGCATGATGTAAGCAAAATTATGGGTGCAAGGGACGGCACTAACCGCTGATGCTTCAGTTGCTCCTCTCCAATGCCAGCATGAAGGACCCCGCCCCCCCATGGGGCCCGCAGTGCTTGTATTCCACTGAAAAAGAATCCATAGGCAGACAGTCCCGCGGCCAAAAGCCGCAACTGCTCCCAACCCAAGTACTCGAGCATAAACATAACCCCGAGCCCAATGCACTGACAAGGCACTCCCGCCAAAATATAGACAAGTATAGCACCTTGAATTTCGTCCCCGGCTTCCAGCACATGCTGAGTTTCGCGATGCCCGGGCTATGCATTCTACGGTGCAGTAGACGAACTAGGCAATCGTAGAAGCAGTGAAGTACGCGATGCCAGAGGAACAGCAACAGATACCGAAGGCCGCGTCTTTTGAATACCAATGGAAAAAATTTACCAACCAATACAGCCATCTTAAGGGGCGGGGTCAATGCGTTCCTGATGTGCTTGCAGGGGCGGGGGGCATATGCACCATACTCTGCACGACGTTGCCAAGCCTGTCCTAAATTTGAGCATGAATCCAACTTAGTCTCCTAGGCAACGGCCCCACACACTGAAGTCTTCACATTATTAGTGGATGCAGCGTAGAGGGGTTTAATTGTGATTGCATGCGGGGCTGTTGTGCTCCATTAGTTCAGTACGGTGCTCAACGCACATTACCACCTATCCTTCAGCTCCAGGAGGTTAGGCCGCTGATACCAATACGCCTGTTGGCTGGCAAGGGAGGTCAGAAAGTTTATTTTAAGTATCGTGACCCCAATGCATGTGGTGGTGGTCCTTGGAAGGGGTCGCATTACACCAGCACTACACCAGCTGCCCAGACATTTGTGGCATTTGCCCCAGATTCCAGGAGAGTTGAATGATGCCGGCTGCATTTGGGATACCTAGAGTACTTTAACTCTATTTCAGCTTGTGACGGTTGTTGGCTAAGATCGAAAAACCTCAGTACAGGAAAGCATTGACGTAGTTAGTTGCACTGGACGTGAGTCTAGAATGGATTTCCCAGAACTGAGGTTCTAACTATGGTATAGAAATGCATACTTAGTGGAATTAGCATGTAAGGTACCGTAAAAACTGGAGAATTGGAAGGCCGATAGGTGGCAAACCTCCGGCCTAGAGCTGCAGACCAGTCACCAGTGTGGGCTGCCGGTGCACTTTTATGGAGAGAAAAGGAACCGGTAGAGTTTTTTCTCCCGATTTTGACAGCTTCCACAAATCTTCGTATGAAAGAGTAAAGGCGAGCATTTAACCCGTAAGAATTAAGGCAAAGTAAGCTAATGAGTCATACGGGGGCCCCCCTGGCCAGCCCCAGAAACACCCGACAGTCTCAGCTGACGTGTCGGCTGTGGGTAAAAGCTGGTAGAGGGCAAACTTTATCGTATTTCCTTAAAGTTATCTGATTTATTTTGGTTTGCATCCGATTTTTACGTGATTATCTGCACCTTTTCTTTCCGTATATTCCCCCGCTTCACCAAAACTACAGCCTCCTGTTACCGTGTTTGTGCTGCCACTCCTATTTATTTCTCTCCTCCTCTCGACCCAAGACAGAAAACGGAGATGCTCTTGAGTTAGTCATCCCCACAGGAGTCTTATTTTTCCTTTGTGTTGCCAAAGGCTCCGATATTCCCGAGGTTGCTTCCACTGTAGTTCTTAATCTGTTTCGGCTGTAGACACCGCTGGGGCGGGAGCCTTTCATACACACAAGGGTCTGCTACATCTGCATCTATTACACCGACTGTGACCGCTTCAAGCTCACCACCTACTTCTCCTGCCTGTCCTATGAACTTGACCTCGCTCTTTACACGCAGAGAGTTCCCCATCAGTATCCGCAAAGCAGGCCTCGCCGCCAGCGGCCCCCAAAAGGGGAGCCACAGGCTTGCAGGGCGCTGAGGGCGCCGCCTTGCATTTCAGTCTTTGCAGGGAGCGATGAGTCCTACTGGCAGCCTTAATAGTTCGGGTTTGGCAGTGCATCCAGCACATCGACGCATGAGCCGTTCAGCTCGTGGCTGGAGGAAGTCTGCAGCCACGAAGGCAGCCAGTTGTGCAAAGGCCTCCGTCTTTGCGTAAAGGTTGCATCGTGGGTTGACGTATCGGGGAGAAAAGGGTGCGTAAAGGGCAAGGACAGCGGTGGTTGGTTGATGAGGCCCTTCCGTCGCAAGCCGTCGTCAGCGAAAGACAATGCTCTTAAATATGTAATCCCGAAGCAATTCGAGGCAAGGACGGCTAAAACTCCCGTGAACATGTTTGTGTGCCTCCACTTGAACAGGCTTCCTTGAACGGAAGAGATGTCCTATCGCGGAGGAAGACGAGAGAAGGCAGAGCCCTTCGACCACCTCGTTAAGCTGTTGGTCCTAGGTGACAGTTGTGAGTTCAAGTTCGTTGTTTTGGCATGAAATAAGATAAAATGCAAGCGTCTATGTGGCATTGGGAGAGATAGAGGGAAACATGAGTAGACATCTGGCAACTACCCTTGTCAACGCGTCGTTGCTTGGATTGTTCTAAAATGTTGTTGAATCTGCTAGGCCATGCACAACCTTCCTTTCATTTTGTTTCTCGCTACTTGCAGCTGTTGGAAAGTCAAGTCTTCTTCTACGTTTCGCCGAGAATAAATTCGACCCGAACTTCGTGCTAACAATCGGGTGAGTATATCGCATTTTCTCTTCATTTAGTTGGAAAATTAAAACCACATGGGTGAGAGCAGTTAACCAGAGGGTATTGGTGCTTACGTGCTCCACCTTTTGCTTTGGAGCCCGAGCAGCCTACGGATACGCTCCTTGATTTCTCTGGATTTGGAATTTCTCAGAGTGGACTTCAAGACAAAAGTCGTCGAATGCGGTGGCCGACGGATAAAGCTGCAAGTGTGGGACACTGCTGGCCAAGAGCGTTTTCGCACGATTACGCCGGGTAAATGCTGTGTACAAACTAGGCATTTATTTTAAATCCTGAAAAGCCAAGTGGAAAAGTACTGCAATTCGTGAAAAAACGAGGAAAATTGCTGCATTTTAGACATACAAGGCCGTCATGTTGTTTCCATTTGCACCGCGGCGACTGATGTTAAAGGTTTCTCTACAAATGATGTGGGATAATTCCCTACCCAGCTCGAAGCTACTGTTAGTGGAACTCGCCTTTCTGTGATTTCCTCAGCGTACTTCAGGAGTGCCATGGGGGTCATGCTAGTATACGACATAACGAATTTACAAACGTTTCTGAGTGCGTCTTCTGTTTGGTTAGGAGACAGTTATCTTTTGAGGCTGCTGTTACGTCTTGTCTTACATCGCTTGGTGTGAGTATTGATCATCCTTTTCCTATTTGTTGCATTCTCTGCTTCCCTGCAGACATTCGGCGTTGGATGCAAAACGTTGAGGAATACGCCGACCCTAGCATCGTTCGCGTCCTAGTGGCCAACAAGCTCGACCTTCAAGCTCAGAGGGTAAACGTCAGCAACAGATAGAGCATGCCATTCCATTTGGCTTTAAGTGAAGCAGCAACTCTGGCGCTGGCAAATGCAACGCTAGTCCGAGCGGACCGGAGTTGTGAACATGCCTGCACACGATCAAAATAGACAGAGTGGGCCCTGCACCGTCTTTCGGGTCATTGTGTTCCATCTGCAGCAAGTTTCGCGCTCAAAGGGTGAGGATTTGGCTCGCGAGTACTCAATTCCCTTCATTGAAACGTCTGCCAAAGGCAACGTCAACGTCGAGGAGGCTTTCATGTACGTCAACTTGGCTGCTAGCCTATCTGCTGTGTTTTATCGCCACTGAGGGCAGAAGCAGATATTACAGAAGATACCGTGCTTCGGCAAGGTATAGCCTCAAGTATACATGCCATGTTGACCCGTATTGTGCTTTGCGGTGTGTTCGAATTCAAGGTGCGCGGCGAGTAGAATTCGAGATATCCGGTGAGGCTTTTCTTCTGGCAACCATGTGGCGTTGTGGCTACTTAAAAATCAAAGAAGACGGCTATTCGATTCTTGTATTTCCGGTGGTCTGGCAGTGAATGGACAAACTGCCAGACCACTGCCCAGATCACCGGAAATGCAAGACGAATAGCCGTCTTCTTTGTTTTTTCAGTAGCCACGCGTAGGGTGTGGTAGGATTGGAATACTATCTGTAAAATTTGTAGAATGAGTTGTAGTGGCGCTCACATTACATTTGTTTGCCAACTTTCTGCAGCTTTTCTCCCGGCCCAATCGAGCCCCAGCCCGAACGGGCTACTACATCCTCTTCATCTCAGCAGCTGTCAAGTCAGGCTGCACTTTCACGGGTGGGTACAAACTGCCAGCACCACCCGACTTCTTGCCCCATGTACACTGCAGACATTAATAAGCGTGCGTTTACTGGAAATATGCACACTTCAGGACAATTTGTAGTCAAGGATGCCTGAGTCGATAACTTCGTGGTTTAGCCTCCGCTGTGGTCCCCTTGAGTACCCTGGTGTTCGTCCCTTCGTAGCTTTTCCCTTGGGCAACAATTTAAGGGAATTGTGATAAATTGGTATGCAATAGAGGTGATGTATGTGAAAGCATTCATGCACTAAATGTGTTGCTGCGATGTCGATGTACTCAGCAAATCTCGGGGCGAAGGAAGTGCTGCTCTTGAGGCAAATTCGCACACAGCACAGAACGGGTCAATTGCTGCTGTATCAGCATGTAAATGGAAATATGTGCAATGATTTAACGGGTATGGTATTTGTACCGCTCGCGCTGCGTATTGCTCAAGCAGCTGCCTTCCTGTCATTGTCTTTGTGAACCATTACGGCATTAAGACATCTCCCTGGGATGAGCTGTCAGCCTCCCTCGGCCTTTTGGGTGCCAACAGCTGCATGGATATTTGAGGCGAAAGAAGTGACTTAGCTTGCAAATGGAAGCATCATTGAGCAAACTCATTTATGCACCGCCGCTGTAGGTAGGTAGTGTATGCCACACTACGAGAAACTGTAAATCCTCCTCTTCTTCCCACGAATCTCCTTCAAATTATCGACGTAAAATGGTTCAGCCCCGGTCAAGGGGTCTCTTGTGTGCCAAAAGACAGGCTACGTCCTATGGATGAAGACGCATTGGTGTCGCTCTGCACACGCGCTGACTCTCTTAGATAGAAAGTTAGGGAGTGTGAGCCATAGTACAGGCGAGGGTCTTTACCTAGTCTTAGCCCCAAAATAATGAGCATGCAGTAGTTGTTGCATACTCGGGCGTACTGGCTGCTGAGAACTCCCGTCTACTGTCAGGGGAGCAGGACGGAGAGCCTTTTACGTCTATCTACGGATACTAGATGCATAAGGCAGCATGGAGTGCTCGCTGCGTGTATTGGCATTAGTGTAGAAGTTCACAGTTGCTTCCTACAACAGCTGTTCTGCAAGGGGCCACAATGCCTTCCACAGGCGGCGGTCCTTTTCCAGCAGGCGGAAGCCCAATATACCCCGTCACCTCATTTAAGAAGAGCTACTGGCGACGTAATAGAGTAAATGTAGACGAATGCTTACCCCAGGGGGAGCCAGGAATGTTGATAACACCCAGCCGTACTCTCCTATCCTCCCCCCGAACGCCTGCACACCATTGCGGGGAAGCAAATGAGACAATCGCGAGGAACCGCTTACTGTTAAAAAAAATATACATGCGGCTGTGCAACCTTATTTCTCCGTGGTTGTACAGCCAGCGACGCAACCGCCCAAACGGGGCGTGCACTGGCCAGTGCCCTGTTAGGATGCCGCAAGGATAGGACGGTCCTTTTAGTACATATTTAATGGTAAAGTATGTTGTCATTGTAAAAGGCTTTGTGGTTTACCACTGTGACTTTTATCTTCCGCTTGTGGCGGAACCGACAGCATCTTTTGCAAAGACGCTACGCAGGGATGGTGCTCTACGACGAGCTTTCCGCTCGCAAGGGACAGACGGGGATGATTCGTGTTACCCTGTGTTTCTACAGGTTTTAAAGGAAGCAACATGGTATGTCTTTGACTCACCGTCTGCTGTGAGTCTAAGATCCTTGGCAGCCCCGCATGGCTAAGCCAAGTACTTCCATCTGCTGGTGGTCGAGCCGAGCACCATGAGGCGAGAGAGCTGATTTTCTTCGCCGAAATACCTGTTGCGGTGATTGACATGAGACACGCATTTGAGTCGTAATAATAAATACTTCTTCAAAATCTGAAGATTCCGGTGGTCTCCATTGTTTTTAGGAAAGAGCGAAGCTACGGCTGCCATTGGACTCGCCGGTCAGCGTTGCGACGGCCATGGGAACAAGGAAGAAGAAAACCCCTCAGCAAGCTTAAGCGGAGAAATATCCTTCCATTTCTGTAAATTATATGCAGTCATTAATGAGGCAGCCTGCGGTGTTGGCATTTTTTGCTGCCATTTCAGCTGCGAACAAACGAGGGAGGAGTTCCGTTGTCTGCAGGTTTGGTGTTGGGGGCACTAGTTCTTGGACTATTCGCTGTCATTATTGAAAAAAGCATCGCTGTTCGAATCCATCCTGCCACTATAAATACTTAAAAACTCGCCGTTTAAATGGGGTGTTCAGGGAGCAAGGCCACTGCGGCCGCCCGGCCCCAGTCGCCTGTGTCGAAACCGAGCAACGAAAAGCCAAGTAAAACTGAAGGTGACGAGGAGGGGCCAAATACTGGCCCCGGGGACACCATAATGTCCCCTGAAGCCAACGGTAGCCCCTTTCCTGACGGGGCAACCACACAGGAGAAGGGTGTGGGAGAAGACGTGGACCCTCTTGAAGGAGTTGATTTGACGATCCCCGATGACTGCGAAGAAGTTGCCATGAAAAACGGAGTTACCTACAGGGGAGAATGGAGAAACGGAAAACAGCACGGACGTGGGGAGCAGCGACAGGCACACGGGGTGGTGTACACTGGCCAGTTCAATCAAGGGCAGATCGACGGATTCGGCAGACTCACCAGGGCCGATGGCAGCAAATACGAAGGGGAATTCGTCAAGGGAAAAGCGGAAACGCGCACAAGACCAGGAGTATACACTTTCCCTGACGGTTCGAAGTAAGATGCAACGTCCGGGTCATTTCCCCGCGCCTTCTGAAATTTTACACCAGGAAATACACTGAGGATGAGATGCACTTGCAAAAACGCAGCAATATGGTTGTTCATATCATATTCCGGCGTTTTGTGTGTGCCACGTATTGGCTTCACTTTTTTGTACTTGCACATTTTCCTAGCCCAAAGTGGAGCAGCATGAGTGGCTGCACCCTTGCAGCCCAATGGATGCGTATGAATATGCAGTCGCATTCGTATGCCTCAGTACATCTGTTTGTTACTGTGAAAGATGCAGGTGCTTGTACGGAAGCCTTCTTGCAACAATGATTTCGGCAGCATACGTAGTCGTGCGTTTGTTTCGAGGATTTGCTTGCTGCTTATCTGTGCTGTCACATGTCTACGTAATCACCTGCAGGTGGTCAGAAGTTCCCTGTGGTTTGCTTTCGTCTGTTGTAGGTACGTTGGGCACTGGAAACAAGATAAGCGACACGGCGAGGGGTGCGAGACCTTGGCAGACGGCTCCCAGTACCGCGGGCAGTTTGTCGACGGGCTGAAATCTGGTCACGGGGTCATGACAGCTTCGAATGGAGATATTTATGAGGGAGATTTTCAACAGGGAGAGATGAGCGGTGAGCCTGCACAGCGACAGGTGGCACTGAAACTAGGAAACTGCACCTTTGGCGTAGTTAAGAAGAGCTACAGGAGTCGAGTGGCAGTAGTTACCAGACCAAAGCAGGTTCTTCCAATGATAAGAGCTGCGGCCGTGACAAAGACAAATAAAGTTCCTTAAGGCTCTCCCTGCCCTTTTTTGTTTTACCCGAACATGCTGCTGCTGCAATTTATTGCCGTTGAGCAGTATTTTTGGTGGGCTTCCACTCTGGGGTGTTGCTGTTGGATGCTGCGAAGGGATGCTGCGGCTGCAACTGCGGCTCAACTGTTCAATGCTATTTGTATGCTTCTGTTGTTGCTGGTGTGCGTGGTGATTGTGGCACGCTTCACCATTGTTGCTTGTTTGGCTGCCAGGGCACGGGCGGTATTCGTGGCCAGATGGACGGGTATACGAAGGGGAGTGGCGAGCGAGTCGCATGCACGGACAGGGCACCTTCTACTTCACAGATGGCAGAAAGTAGGTCCTTGCGTCAGCAGTGTTTGCCGTTGCTGCAGCTGTAGCTGTAGTTGTTCCCCGTATGCAGTTCACTGCTGTGACTTGTACCAGTGTCCCGCAACCGCAAACAAGGACGCATGCATCGTCTTTACAACCGAGGTGGCAGGAAAAATGTGTGTGCTGCCTAATTTGATGTAATCTGGTGCAAACGTTTTCCTCCCTTTTGTCGATATGCATGCGTCTGATGTGTTGATACATGTATGGGCATGTAGCAGGGTATGCGTGTCTATGCGTATTCCTTCGGTAGCGCTGAAGCGTTTATTTGTCATCCACATATGAAGACGTTGGGCAATTGTACAGAGTTGGACGGATTCTAAATTGTATTCCCATAATTAATCGTGAAGGGCGTGGGGGCAGAGAATCTGTTACATACGTGGTGCTCGGCTACTGTTGCTCGTCACTACTGCTGGTGTTCAGATATGAAGGCCAATTTGTGGACAGCAAAATGCAAGGGGAGGGGTGTCTGACCTGGCAGGACGGCTCCTCCTTCAGAGGCCAGTTCAAGAACGGGCTGCCTCACGGAGAAGGCCGCCACACGCCAAAGGGGGGTGCGCCATCGCCTCTAGGTGAGAAAAACTGCAAATGAAGGCATGGCGAAGCAAATGGACAACTCTAGGAGACAAGGGTTGGGGGCGAATGTAGCAGACAGGGCGGAGAGTAGACACTGCATTCGAACGGGGGGCATAGCAGCATAATGACGAACAGAACGAAGCAGACACGACGGGGAAGAGACCCTCGCCGTGAATTCACAAGAGACCATAGCAGATTCTCTGAGCTAGGAACAGATAGGGCAGCAGACGATAGCATAAACATGGAGGTAGACGAGGTGACACAGAGCGTTGTTGCACAGATTAGGGTGAATTGTCTAAAGGAAGGGCAACGCGTCTAGCTGCCGGAGATATGCGGTGATTCCAGAAGTCGAGATGCCTCTTGTGGAGCAGTTTGTGAGCAGTTTATTCTCGGCTGCTTGTCATTGTCCGCCCATGGCTTGCAACTGTCTGCGATCACTGTTTGTGCATCTAACTGCCTGCGCGCCGTTTCTCTCTGTTTTGTTTCTCGCTGCAGCTCTGTGGAACCTTGGAGTACGAGTTAAGTGGCTGGAGGATCCGGTCGCAGTTCAGACCGAGGCAAACATGTCTCCTGAGAAGCCTCATGAAGCCCCTGCGAAGCAGAACTCTTCCCAGGGTGCCGCACAATCTGAAGCAGCAGCAGAAGGAGCCGCGGCAGCAGCTGTTCCAGCAACAGCAGCAACAGCAGCAGCAAAGTAGATGCGTTCTGCATTCCATATTGCAGCAGAAGAGCTGGTTGGGCCATAGGTGCGGACGGTATGGGGGATACATTTTGCGGACCCAATGAAGTTCGGATATCGGAAGAGGGGGCGCCCCATGAGGGGCGCCCTGGAAAGTGGCCCGAAAAGGGTAATGGACCGTTTCTTTGCCTCCGTTTGCTCGTCAGGAAGCAGCGAGAGAGGGCTGGTGTGGGGAATCAAGAAGTGGTGATTGCGTAACGTGAACCTCGTCCTGTGGTGGAGGGGGAGCAACAAGAGGGAAGCAGCCGAAACAGAGATTGGCAGAGGCAAATACAAATAGAGACGGGGGTGAAAATAGATGGCCACTTGAGACGGAGAGGAAGGCAAATGATCATGAAAAGGAAGGATTCCTACAGCATGCATGGAGTAATGGAATAAACAAGACGCAGTGACAAAGGCAGATACAAAAATCGACCAGTAATAGGCGTAGTAGGCGAACATCTCCGCAGCACAGTCCGCCTTTGTTTCAAATTACGCTGCAGGAATGGCAAGAATTTAGCGGCAAAAAAGCAATAAATAGGAGGTATCAGTGCAGTCATCTCCTCTTTGGTTGTCAAGTGCAACTGCGCCTACTATCTGAAGCTCAACTCGGCGGTTCCTAAGAGCAGATGCGCCTGCTGCCAGAAGGTGCATCTACAGCTCAAGGCACAAGGAGACCCTATGGCACGAAACTGAAAGATGAGTTGTTATAATATTGACCAGCTCTTCGTGTAGGCAGTTACGTACCACCATAGCTTGGCAATGGAACAAAATGTAGTGAAGGGTTTGACCCTCAGACAAGGGCGGGCGTCTTGGGTCTCGCTCAGCGCTCATGCATGAATTGTGGCCCTCCTATAATTTTACCGATGAGGGCACGCAACATATGACACCACCTGACAGCAACAACTGATATTGCTCCAAGGGCTCGTACATGGAGCTTTTCCATGAGCGCATGCCCTTTGTACAAACATGAAAGTCACGGTAGCTCTGAACATGCGCAGGTTACAGTGGGCTATTTTCGAAATCCAGGAGCGCTGCGCCAAGCATGCTGTGGACCAGAGAGGCGAAGAGCTGGGACCCCCGCTTGGACCCAAGTGCATCGGGAAGACGTACGGCCCATACTAGTCCATCCTTCGTTTGTGACGGCTGTGTGGGAAGCGAAACTGCTTCAGAATGCGTTGAACTTGCCCATTCCTATAAAGAAGAGAAGCCTCGAAAATACTTGTGCACGAGGTTGATATGCCCGATATGCCGGCCCCTTCATGGCGTATTTGGCTACCTCGCGTCCTCAAAAGCTGATGCCCCTGTGTCAATCAGCAACACTGCAGAACGTAACATGCAATGATATTTCAAACTACGGTTTGGGTGGCTTCAGGCCTAACCGGAAACAAACCTTATGCCAAATCATAGAGTTGGAATTGCAGTGTTCCGAATGCGACGCAAACGGCGGTGTGTACCATGGTCTACCGTTATCTGTTGCATTTGGCATTTTCTGGTTGCAGGCAATGTCGGCGGTAAAGTTTAATTCTTAAGAATTTCTTACAGTATTAATGCTCGCTGACAACGGGGCCTTGCTCGTGCTTCCATGCGATGTCACCGGATGCCCGGAACTGTTGTAGGCGCGATAAAATCCATGATAGACCAGCTACTCCCCACAGTCGTTGCCCCCCCCCTTATCTCGCTGCTCACAGGAGAAATGGGACGGTAGCACTGCTGTTTTGGGGGTAGGTTACAGTTAGTGTTTCGGCCCTACAGCATGCTCCGCCTAGAATCCGTGCACACTGTTGCTCTCCGAAGAGGACTGGAAGTTAAAGGCAAAAGAACTGTTAAACAGTTGCCTGCAGTGCTGGTATATGCTGCAAGAAGAAGCCTGGATACGCCTGCATGGGGGGTTGCCTCGACGGGAATTGCAGTAAGGCCCGTCGCAACGACAGATCGGCAACTCTCCCCAGCAGCCTCACCGTTCACATGGAGGCTATGAGCTCGGAAAATGTGGATAAACTGGTGGACTTTCACCTTGCGTTTCTAGCTCTGCGGCGAGCTATGGTCCTTCCGTAAGATCGGAAGCACTCGCTACACACGGAATGTTTACTGTCAGCCTCCTCTAGATCCCCCGAGAATTCAGTCTACAAGGGGGGTCCTAAATCTTCTCCTGGGAGTAATGTGAACCGCAGTGAAGCCAAAATACTAGATGATGGTTCCTTGAATACAATTGGCGTCTTTTCGCAGTTCCGCTTCATCTTTAGCTCAGTGGCTCAAGCTCAGCTGCCGGGGGAGGGGGCTAGCCATATGAGTTGCACCGCATCTAGTTGCAATTGAAGGCACAGGGCATCTGCACATAAGAAGCCTGCTTTGACGTACGTACAAACACTGTAGACGGTTGTCGCGAACATTTTCCTGCCTACCTCTTCGCCTTCCAGGGCCGTGTGTCAACACAGACTTGACAACATTGCCCAGGCTATGTACATATACCCCGCCCCTCCAACGAGCAGCAAACGTCCTCTTGTAAACCTCCAACGAGCAGCAAACGTCCTCTTGTAAACCTCCAACAAGCAGCAAACGTCCTTGTGTGCTAGTCGCAGCACTGATAACGATAGCCCCCTTTCCGCGGCACAACCTGTAATGCATTTCCCTTCACCGAGGTACAACCCCTTTGGGAAACAGCTGACACGGAAGTTTCCAGACCCCTAATGCATGCAAGCGAATGATAGTTTTCAGTGGAGCACTTTATCGTAGCTTCCCTAAACGGAGGTCCCGCCAATATGCCAAAGCCAGTTTCCTTAACTGTAGAGGGACAAAGCTGCATAACGGCGCATGACGGAAATCCTTAACAATCCGAACGCGCTTTCGAAAAAGCAATGCATCTAATTCGGTATGGTCACAGTTATGCCCCACTTTGCAAGAACCGAGGGCCAGAAGATCTAGCCCTCCAAGTGCTTGTTGGCGACAAAAGGCAACAGGCAAGGAATGCGTCCACTGTCCCCCGATCATCGTCATATCTGGTAGTTCGGCAAAAAAAGAGGCATTCTTAATCGACAGACTGTGCTGTAGAGCATTTTGCCGCAGCATAGGATTGAAGAACTGATCTTGCTTCAACTCGCCGAGGCTCCCAACCTCCACACCAAGGGGTTTATTCTGCTGAAGCTCTATGTATTGTGTTGTGCTCAGATACCACAGAGAAGAAGGGACACCTCAGCAAGCCAGCTGCATCCAAAACCAAAGCGTAGCTGAGCGCAACATGTCCGGGACCTGTCGTCTGCGTAGCTGCCTCCAGCATCCCCTGCAACCTAACCGTTTTTCTAGGCAGTGGAGGCGGTGCTGGAATGGGTAGAAAGTGGAAAGTGCACCACGAGCAGCCGAAAGCTGAGCGGGCGACCAGCGAGAGGAAGAAACCCAAGCCAATCACGGTATCTTCAGGGGAGACACTGGCACGTGAACGCATATGCTGTTTGCACGGATGTGGGACAGACTGCGCTGGTATGTGCGCGTTTAGCAGTCTCCCTTGAACCCTTACACGGCCTTAGTTCGCAACCGGCACGCGAGCAAAAATATTCAGTGAAGCTCTACAGTGTTCGTGCATATAGCCAAGAAGGTTTATAAGCGTTTGTAGTTGTAGTCATTTTTTCTACACCTAAATTGATATGGTAAACGCTGGCTTTTGCTTGAGTGTAAAGCTGTCTTCTACCATGAGTGAGTGACACCAAGGTGCGTTGGAACTCAAGGCAGGCTGCCTCATCTTCAGTAACTCCAGACTCTTCGGGTGCCGCCCTCAGGTCGCCCCGAAACTGGGAAGTGGTCAGTTGCTTTTCGGGAACTTTTACGCAATATGGATGCATTGAAGAGAGCAATGGCATGCGGACCGCTACAGCCGCAGGATAAGATCAAGATGCGGCATTATACAACCCCCCTGTAACTGTATACACATTGGAAACAATAATATCGCTGCCTTACTACACGGGGGGCTTCGGGGCGACGCCGAATGGTCGCGTTTCCGGTTAGCACAGCTCAGCAGAGCTGGACTTGGCTACACAGAGCAGGAGAGGCGTCAACGGCACATGCGCAACAAAGTGCGCATGTTTTGTGGCATTCCTAAGACTCCTGACTACTAAGACAAAACATGGGTTGGGGAGTCATAGTCGTTATATGCTCGTTCGCATGACTACTGTTTGTATACACTAGGCAGAGGAGAGTGTGCCAAGCGGCCTGGTGCAAATCCACCAAAACTCGTTTATACTTCAGTTCTCATATATCAAGAGAAGGTTCATGGAAAAGGGAATCATCCCTCCCTGCCTTCAAGGAAACCCTCTACATATTTGCAGGCACACCCACCAATATCTGCCTTACAATCCCCTAGTCAACCCACCAGGTCTGTCCCAAGCAGGGTTCTGCTTGATAAGTGGCAACCAGAAGTGCAGAAAGCAGCTAGCCGGTCACGCTGGGCTGCCTTTAAGGCTCCTTCTCGATAGTATTGACTGCGTCTCTATGGCTGAATGGATTTGTCCTTTGTCTGAAGTCTACTACTCAAAGCTGCTTCATATAGTCTGAGGCTGTTTGCCAAAGTCGTCGTACTGGAAAGGACCCAGCGTCTCTATTCGTCCCCTCCTCCCCTCTGCGCCCGCAATGTAGTGATCAACTCCCTCAGTTGCCTTCGTGATAGACTACGCCACTTCGGTGTATACCATTTATCCAACCCCTAACCCTGCAAATACCCTTCTATATGTAATAAAATACCAAATAACATTATTAAAAGGCCCAGTCACTTTCCGGAGTTGAATTCCCTTCTACCAAAGCGAGGAGCTGCCGAGCGCCGAGCGTGGCGGATCCGCCAGCCCCAAAGCATAAGGACTGGAGGCACTGGTTGCCCACTCGGCCACAATTGCTGGTTAGACTCGCTGTCAAATACTTTATATTGTGCTTTGTAACGAATTATGCCACAAGAGGCTCAGAGGAGTGTCCATTGTAGTGCCTGTGCAGCCTGCGAGTTGTCTGTGCTCCTTAGACTCATTCCAAGGAGGGTGGATCCTAAAAGGCCCACGAAACCCGCTCATCATATTGGCCTTCCCCGCATCTTTCCACCCTTCGGAAGTGCATTTGGAGTGTTCCCCCTCTTGTAAGAACTGCCTGTGCGAGAATGCGTTTCACCTGTGCGCTTGCTTCCCAGCTGTTGCTGTTTTTGACCGTCCCAGAATCCTCACTGGGCGAGGTGGCTGCAGCAGAACAGGATGTAGCCACTGCTTCTGTAGGTCAGCTGTCGGTGGGGGAGCCGACAGGAGCCGATTTGCCTCTGGCGCTTGAAATACCGCACGCTGTGGACAAGGAGAGCCACAGCCACGCCTTGTGGTCTGTGGAGGGTCTGCATGCGGCGGACTCGAAGGTGAATGTGCGTGGCCTGAAGAGCTCTTTGGCGGGTCTGTTGTTCGTTGCTGCTTATTTGCTGGCCCACATACTATCCAACCGTCAGGTGGGGCTTTCGGAAGCGTTCAAAGTAAATTCATTGCAAGGGAAGGATACTAGGTATCTTCTAAGTGCTGCTTTTTCCTTGGGGTTACTGCTCTCTGGGCTGGGTGAGTTGGCGCAGTCTATGCTATTGCGCCGGGGGCCGTCTGCAGGTTTGGCAAGCGGGCCCCGCCAGACAGGCAAGCGTAGGAGGGGACTACATCAGATGGTCATAGGAGCTTCCTTGTTCTTCCTATGCCTGGGTGCTGGTTTAACCATGGGGCCTTTGGTACAGCTTCCTTTGGTGGAAAACCAGTTACTGAGCGCAGCCGCTGCCGGCCTCTTCCTGTGGGGTGCGGCTCTGTACTTCGATCCCTACGGCATGGTTATGTAATACGATGACGGGCAGAAACAGTTCGCCAATGTCGGCGGGAAAATGGGCATGTTTCCTTTCCAAGAGACGGCTGCGTTGTCAAAGCATTGCATCGTAGTGGGCCTCCGTCGATATCTGTGGACACAACCACAAATTGTAGTGGTGTTTTTTAAGATTGTTGAGACATATACAGGCACAAACGACTATGCAGGATCCAACCTTTCGGAGCCATATGTAATTGTTTTGGGGTTTATGCGGAGTTGTTCCTGGGGATATTCTTTCAAGGTAGCATGACACGGGAGCCGAAAGATAGGTGCCAATCCCCTATCGCTTTTTCTGGCCGCGTCGTTCTTGTTTGATAATCATGCGTAGGAGTCGGGCAGGGGGAAACCGATCTCCATCGCGTACAACCGTGGAGAAACCGCTCTTCCACCATTCTAGTGGTAGAGCCGGGTTTTGTTTCGTCATGGAACGGCTTTTCGTATTCATTGCTTTTGCTGGTGTTGCTGCTTTTCAGACATATGTTGACAGTGCTATGAACCACGCAATGCTCTAGAGCTTTAGAGAGGCCCCCCAGCTATCTTCGGATGCTGCTGGGGTGGTCGTAGGTGATAGTTGGGGACCGTGATTGCTGCATCCACCCAAACCCAGGCAGACCTACAGGGAAATAGGGCAGCGTAGGGTACAGGCAAGACACGACAGAGTACTTCCACACGTGCTTAATGAGCCCTCAGTGGGTTCCTCCCTGCCAAAGCCCCCCGGTATCGCGTCTAAGGGCTGACGAACCGGAGGTCTCGTCGACGAGCACCCCGGTTAAGAGTATGGGGGAGGAGCACATCCACCTGCTGTTACCTGCTACGGGGCGGAGACACAGCCACGGCCAGACTGTTGAAACTGCAGAGAATAATACAAAGGCAAAGGAGAAGCCGTCCACTGTCAAGCAGGGGACTGGGAGGCTGCTTGGTGGTGGACTACCGTTCTGCGGAGTCCGATGTTACGGTACCAGCTAAGCCCGCTGCTTCTGCTGAGCGTCCCGTGTGTCGCATACTACAGGTGCTGTTAACTGACCGTGGGCAGTGCAACGGCAGTGGGTAGTGCTGCTCCCTCCTAAATGGCGTGTTGTGTGAGGCATCTACGTTTATCGGCCTTGCAATTGCTGTAACAATTGCTGCGTGTTGGCGACAGCAGGGGTCCGCCTCGGGCTGACTGCGTTGTTGTATTCTCGAGCCCTACCGATCTCCAGCTGCATGCTGGCGCTTAGTTGTCTTGCACGGTTACATGGTCGGCGGGCCTTGCAACGGGCATCTAACGTAGCATGCATGTAAGACAGAGGAACCTACCCAAGCGAACGTGCACACTACAGTATTTAAGGCCCAAAGGCGTAGAGTTCACTGAACGTGGAGTCAAAATATCGATCGAGGGGATCGGCAAACGGGTTGGCTTGAAGCCTCCTCTGAAAACTGTATGTTAGAATAGAAAGGGGACCCTCATCAAACGGCTAACGCAACGAACATACCCGTTGCAAGGAAACCGAAGACAGGATATTGCCCTGTACCCCACACCAAACACGACACCCTGATAACCTGTGAGGACGCATCGCTGCCCACTTACCACAAGGCCACGCAGCTCAGAACCTGTGTGTGCAACTGGTGCATGTCCCTTCGTTTGTCTTGAAGTCCCTGGAGTTCTATGTGACGTCAACTTGGACCTGACTCCCAATTCTCCATTGCAGTGGGGAGGCCATATAGCGTCGGAGATTAGTCATTTCTTCCGGCGTGGTCTCTGCGGAGGAAGCTATAAAACCGCAGGCGGCGAAGAGGAGTTGGAAACGTCCTGTAGGCCCAGCGCTGATAGCTGTTTCTCCTTTGTTAGAGAGTTCCCAGAGGTGCGCAACTTCCGCACATCCGGACAAATATTCCTATAGAGCCCAAGACAAAAAAGCAGCGTCCCCTACTTAAGGTATCTCAGTATCACCTGCAAGATCAGCAGCTACTCCTGAGCTGCAAAACGCCACACTGCTGATCCTTCCCACTCGGCGCGAGCGGTCAAGGAGCACTGATACAGAAACAAAAAACGCACCACCATGTGGGCCCAATAATCGATCATACCTACGGGGGGGCAGCCAACCGGGGAAACAGAGCACACCGCCGCGGCAGAATTGCGCCACACACGCGACCAGCAGACAGCGTGCACTATGCAGACAGACGTGCTGTGCAAGTCAGTACGTCCTAGATATGAAGGCTTCTCGTTGCTGCACTGTTCACAGGAAGGCTGCCTTGGGAGTAGTGCAGCCTGCGTGGCTCCGCAGCAATGGAGGAGGGCGTGCGAACCGAGCGTTTTCCACATTGTTCGGATACACGGCCCAAGGATAACCCTCAGAGTGTGAGCTTCCATAGAATTGAAGGAGACGGCATTCCAGCCTTCTGCCCCCTGGCTCCTTTACAGGCAGAAATAGGGACGACGGGAGCCTGTCGCCCCCAGATGCCTGCCAACCATGTGCAGGCCCAAACACAGCTGGAACTTTCCAGCTGGCAATAGAACAATGCAATGAGGGGAAAGCGGACTCCACACATATCGCCGAACGAATTTGAAGAAATACAAGAACAGCGACAAAGCAAAACAGGCAGCAAAATCGAAGCCTAGAGCCAGTGGTTATCGCGAAACTGTGCATGGGGAGATAGGGCAAAGAAATGGATATGCCATCCAAGCGCGACTCGCGGAAGGTTGGAAGGGTTGATTTCTTCTACAAAAGTGCGATGGCCGCCTGCATAAGCTGGACGTCAACGCGTCCAGCCTTCGAAGAGCACTGGTCCAGCACATCTTCCGTAGTGCGCAGTGCGGACAGTTTTTTCTCTTGTGCCTTTTCCTGTCCCTGCTGTTCTTCTATGGTGATGTCGCCCAACAAGGTTGCCACCTTCTCCCCTGTCCAACTATCTTCCAGCTGAGTTGCATAAGCCGGGTGGTGGTGGTTGCACGTCCTTTCAGTGCAAAGATCCGCCCCCAAGTCGATGAGGAAGCGTCCAAATTCCAGCAGCACCGAATCCGCGTCCGTCTGCGCTCGACGAGCCAAGTGCCAAGCTACGCCGCTGGCTCCTGTCACCTTGTACCTCGACTGGCCGTCAACGGCCTTCTCCGCACCCCCACATTCCTTCAGCTCCTTCGTCAGCCCAGCCTTCTCCTTAAACTTCATCACCAGGCTACTGAACAACTTCTTGTCCTCTAGCATTTGGTCTTGGGTGGCACAAAGGAAGTCCGCCAAGAGTTCCGCCTCAGCAATTGTGACGTCCCTGTGCTTTTTCTTCTTTTTCTTCTTTTTCTTCGCTTCCTTCTTCTTCGCAGCATCGATATGTTTTCCCATGCCCCCTACATGCCTGCTGATTCTCTCCAAGAAGTATGATAGATGTGCTTCATCTTCGTCCTCTCGTCCCGAGACTCTCGACTCCTTCTGCTCCGCCATTTCTGGCCCGGTAGGCAACTGCGTATCCTGGGAGACCTGCTCAACATCTTGTGTAGCTTGCTGCGAAGCCTCCACTGCTCCCGACAGCGGAGAGCTGATGCTGCCGAAATTCTTCATAATTCCCAAACGATGCTCGACGCCTCCGAGGCGCTCCGAGGCGGCGTCTAGCAGCGCCAAAAGGAAGGCGACTCGGTACTTGTGCGCCGTTACCAACTTGGGACCGGCACCTGGAGGAGGCGCTACTGCCCGCACACTATTAATAAGCCGCGCAAAATGTTCAAAGACGGTCACCTCTTTCTGAGAGCCATCCGGAATAAAAATGTATTTTGACGCGAAATGGCTCCTTGCCACCCCACTTATGCTTTTCAACTTCGTTACAAATGCCGAAACAGAGGAATGCATATCGTCAACAATGCTCACAACTGCCTCTTCTGTCAAGGCAGCTGCTTCGCCGCCTAGATCTGCAGCTGGACCATCTTGAGGATCTTGTTTCTGCGGCTCGTCATGTGATTGCTGGAGCACTTGTTGCTGCTGCTGCTGCTGTTGCTGTTGCTGTTGCAGCTGTTGCTGTTGCTGTTGCTGATGCTGCAAGAGCAGCAGCAGCTGCTGCTGCTGTTGCTGGATCGCCCATGGCTGCTGGTATTGCGGAGGCTGTTGAGGGACAGGTTGCTGCAGCGGCCGTTGCTGAGGGGACTTCTTTTTGCGTGGGGGGCGCGGGAGAGGCCTAGGGCTTGGCGCATCTTCGGGCAAGAAAAGCTGTGGGTGATATTTTTGTGCTTCCCTTTCTATGGCATCCATAAGTTCCTTCAGTTCTAGCCAGCCAACATGGACGGCGTAGAATCCGGCTACGAATCCAGCAAGCGCCGCGGCGAAGTAGGCTCGCTTATGCCTTCTGGGGGAGCGTCTTAAGTGGCTGCTTGAGGAGCTTTTCTTTGAACTGAGGGACCTGTCATCAGCAGGACCGAAGGTTGGTTTGGGGTGCTCCCCTGGTGTGGCCGCAGAGGCGACTGCAGGGTCTGCAGCTAGCTCCTCCTGGTACGGCTCGTCCTGCATTTCAGGAAGAAAAGGACGGAGGAGTAAAAGGGGGCACCCCACGGTTGTGTTGCGTACGAGCTGGCAGGCCTCCTTCACGCAAGAAGGAGAACTGGGCGGAGGGGGCACAAGCTCACGCCCTAATCAGGGAAATGGTAGATAATTCATCATAGACAAGGAGGGCATCCGCAAACTGGCCCCTGGATCTAGAGAAGGAAAAATAGCACAACAAGGCACCCTATAGCTTGGTTCAACACGGCGCGCTTCTGCAAGGAGGCAAATGAAGGGAACGCGGGAGATACCACAATTGGTTATGCTGGGTGCTACGCATAAAAATCCCTTCACAAAATAAAAAACACGCCATATTAATAACTAAGCGCCAGGATACCTTTCTTAGCTCGTCTGCCGCCTCCCCTTACCTGGATCCTGTATCGCTCAAACCCCAGGTTCCCCCCGTTACTGCTGCAACTCCCGCCTGACAGATGGTACCAGAGGGCCTCTTCTTTTGCTAAAATTGATCTTCATTCGCTTTAAATACAATTATACACACCCTGAACCGGGAATGATTTCACATAAATGGTTCAGGGATCCTTGACTTTGCTCTGCCACACCGAACCTGCCACGCGGGTGGGTGTCACTAAGAAGAGTGTTCAGTACTAAGAACGGCTTAACTAAAAAGTGCTCATCACAGGAGCATTCAGTAAATCACTACCAATGCCACGTTTTGTGCCGCTGTTCTGCGTAATACTGATTGGCTGCTTCGCAGGGTAGATCACCCTTTGTTATGGCTGATGAAGCAAGCTTGGCAGAGGTGGGTGGAAGGACGGAAATTTGCGCGCATATTGACTACGAAATGCCAAGCTACTGCCCGGCAATGCTCCACGGCGTTTGTGGGTTCATTAGGGGCGTATTCATGCTGGCTTGTGTCACCGCGTGTTGCATTCTCCATCCGATCTTCGCAATCCGTCTGAACCTGTCACGTGGACACTATAGGAGGACTTGTGGATAAGGACCAGCAGCCCTAGTATGCAGGCGGCAGGCAAGAATTACTCTTCAAGAGTTCTCTAAAGTATTCGTACAGGCAACACAGAAGGCTCGTTTGTGCTTGCAAATCTTGCACCTTGAGTTGGAGTAAGGTGCGTTGCAAGACGAAGCACGCCACGTTTTCTACCGCAACCCCCGGCTGTTGGACTGCTGCGCTCACGACATCTGGTAGCTGGGAAGGGATATCCAGTGCATTTACCGTGTCAGCTGCATTTACCGAACTCTTATCTGAATGATTTAGACTCAGCTGCAGATCGCAATAGTCCTTGGACGAGGCCTAAGGCATTAGTTACACAGATGTATGCACTATACTTGTACTATACCTTTTGGATATTTCTGCACGCGCGAAGGCAATTTACGTGCATGCAGGTTGTTTACTAGCGCCAAGTAAGCGCTCCTGAGCCAATTCATGACAGACTATATTGGGACACTCCGCAAAAGCGATGTTTTCGTAAACCTGGTCGACACACTCCTATTCCAATCAAAAATTCAACTTTTGTGGAGCGCGCCTGCATTATGGTATCCTTCCAAAATGAGCTACAGAGTACGTTTACTCCATCACATACAAGGGCGCAGATATGGCAGAGCTTAGGAGGGTTAAACGAGGAACGATCCCGGTACCATATATCAGAGATGGAAGTGAAATGCGAGTTGAATTCAGAAATGGGCCGTATTTCCACAATAGAAAACTCTGTTGGATCCATTCACCACGACACAAAAAGGGAATTCCGCCGGTAACCCCACTCGATGGAGCTCTCGCATTATGGCTGGCGCTGCCGGGATAGAATCCCGGAAGCGCCGCCTGCTCGCAGCGTCTTAAGCCTTTGCTCTGCTGCCTCGAATTCACGCAGGTAAGTATATTTATAAAATGAGCAACAATTCGCTTGTGAAGTACTTCAGTTGGCTTCCTGCCTCTTGCCTCAGTTGTATGTGTTTCTGTACTCAAAAGATGTGGGCAAGCCTAACAATGTGCCCTATCCATGAAATTTCAATCAACAGCCCATCTTAGTCGCGAGCCAACCTTAAACAAAGGCACGTGCCCCCCAGAACCCGGTCCAGACGGTTGTAATTCCTCAATAATAAGCAATGTAAATGCAACCCCACCTCAGTTACCGGCAGAGAAGACGCACACCACTCAAAAGAATGTGCTTGGCGCTTTTGGCCGCCTGCGCTTTCTGAAAACACTTGTTGAAGCCTTCGATGTAAGATGTCTTCATAGGCAACTCCTGGGTACGTTTTGCAAGTGCTGTTTACATCACTTTACTCCCTGTCCCTCAGCGGCAGTTTTTTGCATGCCATCCCCACAAGCATGGCCACCCCTTTTGTCTCCCCTGTAACGCCGCCTGCCTGGACAATGCTGCTGACACAGCCTACTACAGTACTGTTGCCTTTATGTTGTTTGACTGTGCTACATTCTGATAGCATCTACTTTTCCTCTGCCCTTCCCACGCAGTAGCCCGCGGACTCACTTAACTAGCGGAGGCTTGTTGCACTATTCTGAAGCGGCTCTAGGTACAACCAGCACACCCTAATTCAAAGCCGACATCATAACACGTGAATTGAATAAGAGAATGCAGGGCTGCACCGCAGAGGCACGCGCAGCAGCAGGCGCCCAAACCCCCCATATCTGATTGGGCGTGCTACTCGCGGGGAGGGAGGGGATAGCCACAGGTAGGAGCTTTGCGAGGTTAAGCATGTCTATTAATTATCTGGTTGGCTTATTGTAATAACCTAAATATGCGACACCGTAGAGAGAGGACGGCAGTACAGTTTGGGGCTGGGGGGCCTCTTGTGTTGCGGCTTAGAGGGGGGAACGGCCTAGAGAGTGCCACAGCTGCTGCCCAAGTGACTTTTCACTCGAAAATACAGGGGCGTTGTCCTCCCCATTCTCCTTCGTTTTTATGCGCAGCCGCCCCTCTGCTCAGCGCCTCAAGGAGCCCACGCCTTGTGCACTGCAACAGCGGCAGCAGCAGCTGCTGCTGCCGCACTGCACGGCAGCAGCAGCAGCAGTAGCTACAGCTGCGCTGCTGCAGCAGACGCAGAGGAGGGCTGCCCTGCAGCAAGTGGCCCCACCATAATCTAAAGAAACGTCTTTCTCCCACTGTGCCTTGCCTGCACGTCTGGTGGTGACGCCCGCAGCAGCAGCGGTAGCATTTGGAGCAGTAGTAGCAGGAGGCGGGGGAGCAGCAGTGGCCGAGCTGCCTGTACACGGGGCCTCTGCGAGACCATAGAGTGATTGGATACGCCCGATTGCCGCACGCAGGGCGCTTTAGGGGCTCTCTCACGAGCGTCGGGGCCTCCTCTTTATGTCTTCGGGGCCCCCGTGAAGGTTAATAGCAGCGGCTCACCACTTTGAAAGCTCTCAGGTTGCTGCTGAGGCTCTCTGCCGGACGCTGCACTGGACCTACCACCTCCACGGTTGTGCAGTTCCGTGGAGGAGCCGCCTTCGTTACAGGTGCAGAAGCAGCAGCAACGGCAGCACAGCAGGAACAGCTGCAGGCTCACCAGAAAGACAAGCAACGTTGCGTCCTCATCCCAGATGGTCGAGGAGGCCTCCGAAGGGGCCCCACTGGGAGCCCCTGGCCCCCCGCCAACTCAGTCCAACGCAGTGGAGCACCTGTCTGCTGCACGAGTTCTCGTGAGAGAGGCGCAGAACCTGCTGAGGGAGAAGGGGCGTCTCCATACGGGGGACCCTTCAGTCTCTTTTCACTCGCAACAACTGCAAAGCTTAATGAACGTTTACCAGCTATGTGACCAGGCGCTGATGCATCTTGATTTCTGTGGCTTGCCTTTGGGCCCCCTTAGGGGCCAGCACCAGAATGACTCAGACCTAACGACAGCAGCAAGGAGGAGGCTGCAGCAGGAGCTGCCGGATGGGATGGAGAAGGCTGGAAAGGCCCAGGGCTTCTTTGCTCTTGTAACCATGGCGGAGGCGCTGAGAGCTATGGGTAAGTTGCTGCTGGGGCTGTAGCGGCTCCCCTTTTGCTGGTGTTGCTGTCATTACTGCTTCCGCTTTTGTTGCCTCCGTGAACGTCGCTCGTTTCCTCTGGAGCTCGCCATAGTTGCTTCCCGTTGGCTCGTTTTAGGTCCTCAGCAGCAGCAGGAGCAGCACACCAGCAGCACACCAGTAGCAACGTAGCAGCAACGGGGACCGCAGTGGTTGTTGCTGCTTGACTCTGTGGGCTTGCAGGCAACTACGAGGAGAGTCTGCTTTGCTACACTGAGAGCCTGCAGTGGACTGATGGCTTGTGTGGGGCGACCGGGCAGATGCGCGCCCTCTTAGCAGCTGCCGCCCTCATGTCCAACGTGGGCAGACACACGGCTCTGGCAGCCGAAGCTGCGGAAGCGGCAGAGGCTGCCAAAGCTGCTGCTGCCTCTGCTGCTGCTGCGCCTCCCAACCGCAAGGGGAGCGCTGCATCAGCGTCAGCGGCAACTGCAGCCGCGGTTGGGACAGAGTCAGGTGCTGCAGCTGCGTGTGTTGCAACCCGATCTGCTGGAGGCGGCAGCAGCAGAAGCTGGAGGCATCTAAAAAGCCTCATGTTATCTCACCACAGGGGCCTTGGCCCATCTGAGAGGAGGAGCCTCAGGTATTGTCGGCTTGCGCTGGAGAGTGTCTTGCTACTTTCCCCTGGGCACCCTGAAGCAGCAACAAGACTTGTTAAAGTGCTGTTGCTACAGGGCGACTTCCCTGCCGCTGCAAAGGTGCTGCAGCACATGTTGCAGAACCAGCTCAACTCTTTTGTTCATACACCCAGAAAGATACTATGGCTCAGAGGACTGCTGCAGGGAGACGCTGCTGCTGCTTCGGCTGCTGCGAGTTTTCTTGCTAACGCCCACAGCCTCACCAACAAGGCCAGTGAAGGCAGCAGCAGCAACACTATTGATGCAGCAGCCGAAGCAGAGGCTTACGACAAAGACTTGGCTGAGCAGTTCTTGAAGCAGCAACAGCAGCGACTAAAACTGCAACTTGCCGCTCTAAAAGCTGAGGGTGAGAGTCACTTGCTGCGGCAGTTGCAAGGCAGTAACTGTTGCTGCCTTTGCGCAGACGATGCACCTTGGTCCATCTCCCCCTTTCTCTTGTGTGTGCTGCGGGGTGGCTTTGCTGTAGATGCTGGTGTAGCTGAAGCTCTGAGGGGAGGAGCGAAGGCGTCCTTCAGGCCCCTGCTCTTGCCTCTGCCCCTAAAAGCTGCCGGCTCAACATCAGCAGGCTCGAGCAATGCTGCAGCTACTGCTGGTGCCGAGTCAGCCGCAGACTGTTCTTCTCAGGTTGCACTTGTCTTGGATGCGTTGAGACACGCATTTCTTCAGGACAGCCCGAGTGGAGAAGTAAAGTAGGCTGCTGCGTTGGCTACTGGTGCTGCTGCATGGTGCTCCTGCAGTTGCAGCTCGCGCAGGCGGGGTTACGACAGGTGATTTTCTTTTGTTGTTTCTTTTGTGATTTCTGCCGCAGTCTTGCCCACGCAGCGAGTGCTCCAGCTGTCGTGGTTGCGCGGGACGGCTCCTTGTCGTTGCCTCCAGCAGCAGCAGCAGTAGGAGCGGCGGTTGCCACACCCGCCGAGACGACAGCAACAGTCTCACCGACGGCGGCGCCAAGTGCTGCTGCGCTTGCGCCACCATCCGCTGTTACGCTGATTCGCAGTAGCAGCACAAACTGGCTGTGGGGGGGTCCTTGCCTGCAGCAGCAGCAGCAACAGCAGCAGCAGCAGCGCAGCAGGGGGAGGTTGCGGAACGAAAAGCCTCGCCGCCTCAAGTTCCTGCAGGTGGGCTAGAATGTGTGCTGGGCGCGGACGCGTTGGTTTTCTGCCTCTTTTCTGCGTTCTCTGGTGCTGCTGCGTCTGCTACTGCATTTCATGTTGCTGAAGTGTTGGGAGGTGCACTTGTCTGTGCTGCTGCATTCGGTGGCGCATTTGATGCCTCATTTCCCACTGTTGTTGCATTTTGTGTTGCATTAGCACTGCTTTTATTGCCGCTGCTGCTGCTGCTGGGTGACGTGCGGGTGCAGGAGAGCGATGCTTGGCAATCAAAGACCCCGTTTTCTCTGTGGAAGGCATGGGGCGCGCTGCTGCGGATGCCAGCCGCACACCGCGAGGCTGCGTTGAGCAGCCCAGCCTTCGAACACAACGCTGCAATCGACGTGCTGTGGGGGGACTTCTCGGTGTTTTCGCACCTGTTTGGTGGATCGGGAGGCGAAGCTGGCACCGCTGCTGCTGCTGCTGCATCAGGCGGCACTGCCGCGCTGCCTGCAGCGGGCGCTCCTGCCGCTGCAGTTGGGGCAGCAGCAGCGTCATCGCAGCCCCTTGCAAGAAGCTCTAGTATCAGAGCGAACGCTGCTGGTGCAGCAAAAGCAGCAGCAGCACAACTCCAGCCAGCCTCAAGTGTGGCGCTGCCGGTAGTCCCCCCCCCATCCCTTCAGTGGACTTTGTGGCAGCTGCAAACAACCATCGACTCCATCTTGTAGGCTGCTGCTGCTGCAGCTTGGTTGCTGCTTCTATTTCTCCCTGCTTGCTGAGTTTTGTGATTGCCTTCGCTGTTGCTTTTCCGGCACCGTATCATTTGCCAGAAGAAGCGCCGGCACAGAGAACTTCGTATCTGTGTGCTGCTGTTCAGGGTCGGCAGGGACTCCACAGCAGACAAGCCGGGAGCAGCTGCAGCAGCCAGTAGCAGTAGCAACGGCCAGCCTCAGCCGCTGGAGGAGGAGCTGCTGCTGCAGCGAGACAGGGAGGCGGGGGAGACGGCGCTGCTTCAGCAGTTGGCCGCCTCTTTTGCTGTTTCCTCAGCGCATCCCCGCAGCGTAGAGATGTCTCTCCTCCAATCTGCTCTGAAAGTAAGACAGGCAGAGCGGAGGAAGTTCTGCTGCATTTGTCCTCTACCCCCTGCGATTTTTGTTTACCGCGATTTACTCGTCTCCTTTCTGCGTGTCTGTTTCTGTTGGTGTTTGCCGAGCGCGTGGAGAGTGTTGGAGTACATCCTTCTCCCTTTAAACATTATCGACGGTTTGCCGCTGCTTCTGCAGGTGGTGGAGACCCTTCTATCTGCTCAAGGCCTCGCAGGTCGCTGGCCGGAGACGGTTTGGGGTCAGCGGGTGTCTGTACGGTTGAGAGACCTGCTGCAGCTGCTTCTGGGGGTTGGCACAGCGCTGGCGTCTGAACTGCCACCAGTCGGAGCAAAGAAGGAGGGCACGAAAGAGGCAGCAGCCAACCTCGTAACTTCGCTGCCGCCAACAGAGGTCTGGGGCAGACTCTGCCTCGCTGCAACGAGTAAGCTGCTGCGGCCTGTACCTCGCTGCTGATGCGGAACGGGCGTGCACGACTGCTGCTGCAGCTGCTAGTGTTGCTGCTGTTCGTTTCTGTGTGCTGTGTTCAGCCGCAGCAGGACAAACGGCAAAGCATGCAAGAGCGTTGCAGCAGTTTCTCACGGGGGGCACGGCGGAGCGCGCGGCACTCGCTGTCATGCATGCAGCAGCAGTGGCGCTTGACGCACACCCGAAGCAGCAACAGCAGCAGCAGCAGCTTCCGGTGGCAGAGGCGCAGCAACTGCTTGACGTCGCAGCGGATCTCCTGTACGCAGTTGCTGCTGCACTACAATACACAAGCAGCGAGAGCGTGACAGCAGCCACTGGAGCAGGAACAGGAGAACCAGTGCGAGCACCAGCAGGAGGAAAGAAGATGCGGAGCAGGCTGCAACGCGCAATGGCTTGGTTAATGCTGCTGCAGCGGCACTCTGCAGCAGCAAGAGGAGAGCTCCCAGCAGCAGCTACTGTTTCTCCGGAAACTGTCACAGACGATGCAGTTCAACAGGTGGACAGAGGGGAGGGGTCCGCTGCCGCCTTGAGTGCGCTCTTGCTGCTTCTGGACGACCTTAGCCCTCAGCAGGAGCACCAGGAGCAGCAGGAGCGGGATCAGCAGCAAGAGGTGCAGGATTTGCTGCCGTCGTTGGACTATCTGCGATCGCAGGCTGTTTCTGCGGTGCTTGCTGAAGGCCTCGAGGTCCACGAGCTGCTGCAATCCGACCCACGCGCAGCAGCTCTTTTTTCCAGCTTGTCCGGTGCAGCTAGACAGCAACCCCAGCCCCAGCAACAGCAACAACAGCAGCAGGAAACGAAGTGGGGGCAAGACTGCGTGCCGGTAGAAGGGGTGCCGTCTGGGACCCTGCGAGCAGAGGTGGAGGCGTCTCTGCTTTCTGCTGTTGCTTCTGCACAGCAGCAGCTCGATGCCGTAACAAAACGCGTGCATGCGGAGATCCACGAGCGAACGGTAGCAGCAGCAGCTGCTGCAAGTGTGGAAGACGACCAGCCGCCGCCGCAGCAGCAGCCACACTGCTCTCAGACTAGCATTTTGAGTGCAGAGACCCAAGAAGAAGTCTTGTCTCTCATCCAGGCATTTGTACCTTTCTTCTCTCGGGTGTCTAGACAGCTGTCGCTCTTAGGCTCTTCCCAGCTAGACTTGAGTTCAGGCCAGGCTCCACCCGCTATAGAAATCCACTCCGCCGTGCATGCATTTATTTTGGGGCTGATTTCTCTCTATGGCGACATCTTTGCTGTTTTGGCGCTTCGGGCTGCGCGGTCTCTCGACGACTGCGTCTTCCCTTTTGCAGCAGTCACTGCAGCAGCAGCAGCAGCTGACACAGCAGCAAAGACTCTGCGGGGCTGTCCCTTCCCCTCTTCTGAACTAAAGGAAGAATTTGTCTTGGGAGTTGTCGCCTCTCTTCCTGTTTTACTCTCTTCCCTGCAAGCCTTCAGAGTTTTTCTTAGCGAAACCCCGGAGGCACCTGCTGCTGCTGCTTCCGCAGCTTCGGCCACCGTACCAGCAACAGCAGCAGGGGGAACAGGGGCGACGGGTGCGCCTACGGGGGCCGCTGACACGCAGCGTCAACAGGTTTCGCAGCAGCAGCAGCTGCATGGTGCTGCTGTTGCTGCTGCAGTGTCTACTGCGGAGCTTCTGGGGGAAAGTGGAAAGCTGCCTTCTCTCGCTGCTGGCGTTTGCATGTGGGGTGTGGCTGTGGGTTCCCCGTATGCACGGTTAGTGGCCCCTTTGTCTCCTCAGCAGATAGCAGAGGATCTCAAGCTGAAGCCGGAGAGCAGCAGCGGTGGTGCTGTTGCAGCTCCGGTTCTCGCAACGGCTCTCGGAGCCCCCATCCCCGTTTCCACAATATTTGCTGCTGGAATCCCCGTGTCTGGCTGCTTCTTGCATCCCGCTGCAGTGAGGCTTGCTGCAGGCATCTCGGCTTTCATTGTTGTGGAGCTCGTTGCAGTGGCTTCTGTTTGCTGCTGCTGCTTCCTCACGGGGGAGACGAAGCGCTTCAGCACGCTACCCATAGCGGGGCTGCCGGGTGGGGCAGCTGCGGGGGCTTTGAGCAGCGGCTCTTCCGGAGGCGCAGCAGCAGCAGCAGCAGCAGCAGCAGCAGCTGTCACGGCAGCAGTCACAGCACGCAAGGGCAGCCTCTGGAAGGACGTCACGAGCAGCAGCCAAGTCATCCGTCTGGGGCTCTCAGCTCTGCTGCAGCTGGTTGGCGCCCCCCTGGAGTGCGCCGGCACAGCGGAGCAGCCACAGGTTTCTCAAGGGCCACCGCCGGTGGACTCAGTCAGGGTCCGCTGGCAGCTGCACCCGCTGACCTTCTTGGGACCGACGAACAACCAAGGAGCAGCTGTGGTGGGCGATGGCACTGCGGGCTTTTGCCCCTCTGCTGTTGGTGCCACGCAGCCCCAGCAGCAGCAGCCTGTAACACCTGGGGCGACTGGCGCTGCGGGATCAGGCGCAGCAACAGCTGCAGCAGCAGAAGCAACAGCATCAGGTGGCGTTATGATCAATGGAGGGGGAGGCAGTAGCATCTTCGAAGCTGCAGATGAACGCGCAGCTCTCGATGCCAGTGAATACGCCTTGAGGCTGTCTCATTTGCTATGGGGAGCTGTAGAGGTGGAGGTCGCTGTGAGGGAGCTGCAGGACATTGGGGCGCAGCAACAGGCTACGGGTGGCTCATCGGCTGCTGTGAGTGCAGCGGCGGAGAAGGCGAAGGCCGCAGCAGCAGCTGGTTCCGCCCCAGCTGCAGCGCCAGCGAGCAGCAACACTGGAAGCAGCAGCAGCAAGAGCAAGCGCAGTCAGTCGCACTACCCGAAGCCACCCGTGTCGCAGCCGCTGCCACTGCAGGGCCTCCCTGGCTGGCTGACCAGTTGCTACTGGAGTGAGGCGGAGCTGCCGTGGGACCGGACAGACGCCGAGAGGGAGGCAGAGGCTGAGGGGACGGTAGGTTAGCATGCATACATAATATGTACAGACGAAGGTGCAGCGATATTCAGGTGGTCAGAGAGGGGATTGCGTCTTCATATAGCTGCAGCTGCATCCAACGCAGCAACGCGGCAGCTGCGACGGTGCGGTAGATGTGGGGGTTTGCTGTGTTGGCTTGCTGCGTCGTGCTGCTGTTGGGTCAGCTGCTGTGGCGTTGCTGCTATGTTCTTGTGTTGCTGCAGCGGGGCGCGAAGCAGGTGGCAGGTGTGGAGCTATTTCTGCCTCCAGGCATCGCCACGTCGTGCCTCCCCCTGTCATGTCTGCTGGTCGCTTTGCGATGTCTGCGCACTCCGGCGATACGGCGGTACGAGCGGGAGCTGCGGCCACTGGCTGCGGCTGCGGCTGCTGCGGCTGCGGAGACGGAGGCGCAGCAGCAGGAGCTGCAAGTGAGCAAGGAGACATTTGCTGCTGTACCCTGCTGCAGAAACGTCTTCATGCTGCTGCCGCTGGCCGCAAGGCTGATGTTGCTGTTGCGTGCTGCTACGGCAGCGCCGAGCGTCGCCCCAGGGTACCGTCCTGCTGCTCCGTTGGCTGCTCGGGATGCAGCAGCTGCTGCAGCAGCTGCAGCGCGGGGCATTCCTCTGTTGTGGGGCCCCCCTGGGAGCCACGCAGCAGCGGCCGCTGCTGCCGCTGCTGCTGCAGAGGCGAACGGCTGGAGGTGGGAAGCGTCAGAAGTGTATGATGTGACAGGAGACATCTCGTACAAACTGGCCTGCTGCTTCATGCTGCTGTACGGACAGCCTCTGCTACCGCGGCAGCCTCCTCCTCTCGACAAGCTTACCATACAGACGACAAAGGAGAAGCTCAAGAACACCTTCATCGAGGTCTCCCTCCCCACAACCATGCTCGGGGTGTACATACACCGCAGCGTGCAGAGGTGCACTGGCTGGAGTCTGCATGAGAACGTACGACCGCCAATGGACGTAGCAGTAAACTTGGCAGCAGCAGCAACTCCACCGGCACACTTAAGAGTAGCAGCAGCAGAAGAACCCTCGGCGGGTCTGCAACCCTTGTACCTTAGCTATCAGTTTCGCTTCAAAGCGAGCAGATTCACCCCTGGGGCCTTTTCTCCCCAAGCGAGGTCTCTTCACTGAATGAATATTCTTTTTCTGCCGGGATTGTTGTGCCTTGGATATTCGTCTTTTTGCGTTGTGCTGTGTATCTGCAGTTGCATGCTGCGTTTCCATACGCTTTGGCTGTTTTCCGTGTTTTTGTATGTAGACTTGTCTTCCGATTGCGTTGCCACATTCCGTATCTTGTCGCCTTGCGCCTTGTCAGTTGTGCTGTTTGTTGCGTATTCGTATTCGTCTTCTTTTTCACGTGCTTCTCGCCTCGGCTGGTCGTTGGTAGTGATGCTGGATTGAGCTTTTTTCTCTCCTTACATGTGTTCTACAGGACTTTCTTCTGCACTCGCTGCTAGTACCATCTCGGGAGACGCGGGAGTTCGCACGCTTTGCCGTGACTGCTGCGGACTTGTTCTGTTTCAACAGCAGCAAACCCCCGGAAGGCAGCAGGCCATCCTCGGTGCCTCCATTCCTCACAGACTACAGCAGCAATAGCAAGGGGGTTGGAGGCGGTGGGTGCATCTGTTGCAGCGGGACGGGGGACAGTTTGTGGGAGTGTGTTGGGGAGCCGTTAGCTGCACCGCCTTATCTCCGGCGTTTTTTGATTGACTCAAATGGTGTTGGGTCGGTCTCTCCTTTCATCCTGGCTAACAACCCGAATAGGCACTGCTGCCTCCCGACGCTGCTCTCTGTCTGCAGCTACACGCGCGCCCAAGAGCTCACACTGCTTCCGCCCGCGCCCAAAACCCACTTCCCCTTTTTCCTGCAATTCATACCCAAGCAGCAGCAACAGCAGCAGCAACAGGAGCAGCAACAGCAGTTGGAGCTGCGTCCCGATCGCATTGCTCTCACACCTCTTTCGCTGCTGCAGCAGCACCACGATCAGATGCAGCAGCTACTACAGCAGCAGGCTGCGCTCCTCCTGCTGCTGCTTCCGCCACCCGTACTGCAACTGCTGCGACGCCAGTCGCTCGCCGCAGTAGGGGGGCGGCTGCCTCGTCTGCCTCTGCTCGAAGCAGCCTTTCATTTGCGCCCTGCTGCTGCACCGTTTGCTGCTGTAATAGGGGCGTCAGATTCTGTTGCTGCTGCTGCTGTGGAGCTGCTAGCATCACGCCCCACACATCTGCTGCCAGCATCACTGCGACAGTACCCGCTGCACCTGCTGCTGCAGCTTCTGCAGTCGCAGAGGGCAGCTGCTGCTGAGGTTGAGGCCCTTGAGCGCCTAGGTCTTGCAGCAAGAGCAGCAGCAGGCGGGCCCCCAAACAATCCGTTGCTGTGGGAGGCTCTGCATGCCGTGCTTCTGGAGCTGACACTGCTACTGTCGGACCGCTTCGCCTCGACAGGGGGCTGGCAGCAGCAACACCAGGAGGAGCTGCAACAGCGGAATTTGGAAGGGGTGGTTGCAGAGGGGGACAAAGTGCCATCTGCCTTCGTGCTGTTACTTCTATTTGCGCAAGCGCATCTCGCAGCGAACGTGGCTGCTGAGCTGTGGCGCCGCTTCTTGCAGCTCAATCGCAGCATTGCAAAGGGAACAGGAGCAGGAGGGGCAGCAACTGAATGGAAGACGTGTGAGGTGCTGCTCGACACAGTTAAAGCCTTCAGCCCAAAACACCTCGCTGGAGCTGAGGCGGAGTGGTCCTACCTTGCAGCAAAGACAGACGCGCTGCTGTTGCTGTTGCTGCAGTTTTCACACTTCAACCCGCCCTCCGTGGGTGCACCAGCACTAGCAGATTCAAGCGGAGGTGGTGACAACGACGCTGCAATGGCAGAAGACGCGGCTGCAAGCAGTAGCAACAGCAGTAGCTCCTGCGGCGGGACGTTTGCTGCTGCGGACGCTGCGCTGCAGCACGCGCAGTGGTGGCGGCGGGTGGGGGATTGCCGGCGGTTGTCTTCTTTGTTTTGTCTATCTTCTCTGTCGGGAAAGGGGGAGGAGTTGAGCGAGAGGCAGCAGCAAGTGAAGCAGCAGCGCGGGGTATCCGTGCACCTGTCCGCGCGGCAGTTGTCGTCTCTGGCTGCTAGCAGCGCAGGAAGCAGCAGCACGAAGAAGGACGTTCAGCTGCTCTTCGGCTTTGCCGTAGAAGCAAGTCGTCTTCTGTCCTTCGTGTTCAGCGGTGTTGTTCCCCAGGCAGGCAGCCGGGCCCCTTCAGATTGGGTAGGCCTACTTCAGCAGGAAGAGGAGTTGGGCTGTCCAGATACCTTGAGGGACTCCTTGAGTTTGTCGGCCCCCTTTAGCCGAGCGAGGGAGTGGGCCGAACCGCCTGCCTTCTTTTTTTCTCTGCTGCTAATTCGGGCGAAGTGCTTTCGCCGGATTGCTGCAGTTGCTGCTTCTCCTCCTGCAGCGCCAGATGCGCGCAGCAGCGACGCAGCTACTGCAGCATCGGTGGCTGTTGATACAGTTGCTGATGCAGCCGAAAAGTCTTATCCCCAGCCTGTGCCGGACCTTGCTGCCCTTACTGCAGCAGCAACTGCAGCAGCAGGAGGCGGTGCCGCTGCAGTAGACAGCAGCAGTACTGCGCCCAACGGCGACACCAAATTGGAGTCGTCCCAGCGTCCTCCAGCAGGCGAGGCAGCAGCAACGCCAGTAGCGGCAGCAGGACCTGCGAAGCCTGCTGTCGCTACAACTGTTAGTAGTCTGCACGCAATTGCATTGTGTGATGCTGCTGACGCGCTGCTCATCTCCTGCATACAGGCCTTCGGGGCCGACAGCATATTGGCGGGAGAGGGCCGGAGCCCTCCGGTTGGTCCTTGTTCTCCCCGCAGCAGCAACCACGTACAGCGCAACTCGGACGGCAGCAGTGGCAGCAAAGGCAACCTCAGCGGCCCTAGGGGTGCAGGACCAGAAGAAGGCCGTCGTTTCGTGTCCTCCCAGGTATCTCTGCAGCTGTACTTGGAGCATGCAGGCGACATTGAAAGCCTCGTTGAGGCCGACGGCGACATCATGCCTATTGTGCTACCCCTCTACCGGCTGCATGCCATGAGGGTGCGGCTGCTGCTGCAGTCAGGGGGCAGACTATGGCGCCTCGCTGCTCTCTTCCCGTGGAAATACGCGCGGCAGCAGCAACAGGAAGAGACGCTGGTGGCTCTAGATGCGGCGTTGTACATGTGGAGAACTGGCAAAGTCGAGTCTCTGCTGCAGCAACAGCAACAGCAACAGCCAGTGCTGCCTGGCGATCATTTGCTACCGCTGCAGAGCGCAGCAGAGGTGATGAAAGACGCTGTGGATTGTCTGCAGTATCTCGCTGCCAAGAGGTGAGTTGCAGCTTGTTGGGAGTTCATTGCGGTTTGCCAGCAACCCTTCAGGTGTGTGTACACTGGACGTCAGTGTTATTTGGGAAACGAGCACATCTACGTGAAGGGCGACAATGAAGGCAATTACATGCGGCTGTTCACCACAGACAAAGAAGGAGACGCATCGACGAACTCCCAGTCTCGTCTGTGTAATATTTATGTGCACTGGGTTTTGGTTTCGGCTTCGCCACAAAGGTAGGGTGTTCGCGGCTCATGTTTATCTGTATGTGGCTGTGTGTGCTGTTGCGATTGCAGGCAGCTGAGTTCTTGGGCGTCTGCTCCTCGTTGCCTGCTGGCACGGCTGGCTCTGGCTGGCGGGGAGTTTGGGGCTGCATGCAAACAAATTAAACATCTGTTTTCGCGGGGGTCAATGCGGCTGGCGGCCCCGGATTCGTGGATGAGCAGCCACTATCAGGCCTTCAGAGCTCGGAGGCGCGGATTTGACTACCGGCGCCTCAAGATTTGTTTTCTTTTGCAGGACACCGTCCGCGGCCTTGCCCAGGGGGCACTCGCTGCTGCAGAGGAGGGCAAGCAGCAGCAGCTGCAACAGCAGCAACAGAAGAAGAAGCAGGAACATCAGCAAGGCGTGGTGCTGCCAGAGGGGTGGGTGTTTGGCGGTGTTGAACGAATCGAACGGCTGGACGAGCTGCATGCAGCGATGAAGATTTTAGCGGAGACATTAGACGTGCAGCTGAAGTTGCTGCGTCGCCTGCAACAGCGGTTGCAGCAGCAGCAGCTGCAGCAGCAGCAGCCGCAGCAGCAGCAGCAACAAGAGGCGGTAGATGATGAGGTGCGGCTCACGAGCATGCCGCTGCAGCTGAAGGTCATTGAGGTCCTGATGAGCGCAGCAGCGGAGGCCTTCGGCGCCTTGACAGAAGCTACACCCGAAGTGCTGGATATGAGTGAAATGCGCCAGGCGATCAGCATCATGTTTCCTCAGAACGAGTTGCCTCCGGCGGAGCTTCAGTGTACGTACACGCCGGAAACGGCGGCACTGGACAAGCGCCTCTTGGTGTTTCTCCGAGACATCGTCTCGTGCACGCGATCTTGTCTGCTGGATTTTTCAGAGGGGGGAGAGGGCGAGGTACTGCAGCATGCTGCTACTGAGGGGCTGCTGCAGGCGGTGGAGGAGCGTTTTGTTCAGCTTGACGCCATCTTTGTGGCTGCATGCAAGAAGCTGCTATACTGGAATCCTGCGGCGTCGCAGCATGCCGTCAGCATGCGCCTCAGCCTGGGCCAGCAGGTCCGCTGCAGCAGCCAGATGCGGGACATAGACGACGGGAGAGAAGCTCAAGCAGCGCTGCAGAGAGCGCTCCGAGCAGACGGTTCGCTGGGGGCTACAGCTGGACGAGGCAGAGGAAGAGGCAGAGGGGCGTACGGCGGCAGGGGAGGGGCGGCAGCAGCACGCGCACAAGCAGCAGCAGCTGCTGCCGGTGCTACTGGCGCTGCTCCAGGTGCGGCTTCTGTACCCACGGCTCCTACACTACCCACAGCTGCACCTGCTGCTGCTGCTGCTGCGGCGGCGGCGGCGGCCACCACACGGGGCGCCAGCAGGCAGCAGCGGAGAGCCGCACGCAGCCAGAAAATGGGGGGGGAGTATTTCGAGGGACATATTTCTGATGGAGACCAAATACGCATTGCAGAAGACAACTCGCAGCAACAGCAACAGCGGCAGCAGCAACAACAGCAAGTTCAACAACAGCAGGTGCAACAGCAACAGCGTAGACAGACCCAACAGCAACCGCAACAAGACATCCACAAGCAGCAACGTTTGCCTCAGCAAGAGCAACTGCAACAGCAACAAATTCATCAGCAACAGCTTTTGCAGCAACAGCTGCAACAGCAGCAGTTGCAGCAACGGCAGCTACAGCAACAGCAGGCACAGCTGCAGCAACTGAGGCAGCCACACGCGCAAAGTAACCAGCAGCTGCAGCAACAGGCGCAACAGTTGCAGCAGCAGGCGCAACAACAGCACCTGCGCCAGCCACAGTTGCAAGCACAACAGTTGCAGCAGCAGGCGCAGCAACTGCAGCAGCAGCTGCAGCAACAACAGCAGTTACGAAGCGTGCCAGCCCAGTTGCAGCAGCAGTTGCAGCAGCAGCAGCTACAGCAGCAGCTACAACAGCAAGTCCAGCAACATCAGCTGCAGGTGCAGCAGTTGCAGCAGCCTCAACTGCAACAACATCAGCTGCAACAACAGCAGTTGCAGCAACAGCAGCTGCAGCAGCATCAGTTGCAGCAACATCAGCTGCAGCAGCAGCTGCTTCAGCACCAGCTGCAGCGGCAGCAGCAGCTCCAGCAACAACAGAGGCAGCAACCGCTCCCAACACCTCAGCTGCACCAACAGCTGCTGCTCCAGCAGCGGCAGCAACAACTATTACTGCAGCAGCGACAGCAGCAGCTTCTGCAGCAGCAGCAACTTCTGCAACTTCAGAAATCCGGACTGACGGGTAAAGAGCCGCAGGCAGTCGGCGCTGCAGCACAGTTGCAGCAGCAGCAGCTGCAGCTGCAGCGCCATTTGCTGCAACAGCAGCTGCTGCAGCACCAACAGATGCTGCAGCAGCAGCAGCAGCAGCTTCTGCAGCACCAGCTGCAGCAAGGTGCCGCGGACAAGCGTAGTGCTGCCTGGGTCTCACCAGGGGAGCAACAGCAGAAGAAACAAAAAGGGGATGGTGAGGGAAACATCAGCAGCAGCAGCAGCGGCGCTCCAGCCGAGGCTCAGGAAGTGCAGCAGCAGTAAAAAGAACTGAGACATTATTTTTGACGGTTTAGCTTTTGTATTGACTGCCGCGAGCTTTGGCTGCTGCTGCTCCAGCTGCTGCTGCTGCTGCAGACCACGACCACTGGGTGCAGCACGTGCGCGCTGCAGCAGCAGCAGAAGCCCGCAGTGTTAAAGTTTGCTGCTAGTGTTCAGACACTCTCTGTCGCCTGATGGGCCAACTGCTCAGACACCGCTAAAGGCGGCAGCCCCCTGCAGCCAGAGTGATTATTAGGTGCAGCTGCAGAAGCAGCACCCCGCGCAGCGGCCTGCAGCAGCAGCACTGTTGCAGCCGTAGCTGCAGCTGCACGACCTGTAGCAGCAGCTGCAACAGGTCGTGCAGCTGCCGCTGCGAGGAGACCGTTTTGTCAGAAGCAGCAGCCTCAATAGCTATCAGAAGGCCGTGCGCGCTCCGCCAATGAAGCTCTTTTTTGCACTGTTCTGTCCACCTCTGGTAGCGGAAAATTCAGTTGTTCGTAGTCCGAGTTGCCCAGAAAAGCAACCAGAGGTCCAGGCACTTGCAGCAGGATCAGCTGCAGTTAAAAATTGAGGTTTACCTAGGTATGTACGTGGTGCACTGCCAAGGACTGTGGCTTTGCCTCTTACAGAGGGACAAATCTAGACTGCTCCTGCTGCAGCCGCACCAGCAATTCCCGACTAGCCGCTGCGACAGCAGCACCCCACAGCGGCCAGTGATCCCACCTGTCCCCCCCCGTGAGCCCCGCATCATGCGTGGGGTGCGCATACACTTGGTTAGTTGAGTTAAAAAGGAACGCCCGTCAATTGCGCCTGCCGCGGGCAAACTTGCGGTTATATGCAAAAGGATTTTCGTGGGATTGGTGCCGCCGGTCGTCTGGAGGAGGTGGCCCCCCAAAGGGAGGTGGGCCCCTTCTGGGTCCTCCTGGAGGTCGAGCCCCTGGGGGTCCAAACCCTGGAGGGCCCCCGCCTACAGGACCTCCTGGGACCCCCCCTCCTCCTGGTACCCACTTGTGTCGAACGTTGCGGGGGTAGGCCCTGGGGTCTACTGGGGGCATTCTTGAAGCGATAAGACTGGCCTCGAACTCTTCTCTTGCACGCTTGCCGTGCTCCCCTCCCTGCCCCCCCCTGCCTGGGTCATAGAAGTCGCGCCATTCATCTCTCCATTGACGGCCGCTTGTGCCTGCAGGAAGAAAGAGGGAGACAGGCATGCATGCATCAGCCACGCAAACGGCGCATGTACAGCGAAACGGAATGGGGAAGCAGCGAAGCCCCCACACCGCCTTCGAAGCACTGAAAGAAGTAGAAGAGGCGCCACCGGACCTATGTTTTGCTGTTGATGCAAGTCTCTGCTGCTTCCTTTGCTGCAACAGTTTGCTTTTGTGTTTATCTTATGAGGTCGTTGTGTTTATTTGGTGCAGTAGTTTTCTACAGTGAATTTGCTGTGACTGTCACCTCTCCCGTATTTCCTGTCTCCATCGATGTCTCTGCCGCTGTCTGGGTCCACTCTTATGACGCGGCCGTCGCACTGGGCGCCTGAAAGGATCTGCACAGCCACTTTGGCTTCTTGGGGAGTGCGGAAGAGTACGAAGGCGAAACCACAGGGGGCCCTGGTGAGGCGGTTGAGACCCATTACGATGCGGTCCACGGACCCCGCATGGCTGACAAGCTGTACAGACAGCAGCAACAAAAACAACAACCGCCCATGACCAGCGATCGTTCAACATGGGGAAAAGTGGGGGAGGCAGCGAGTAGACCAAAAACCAAACCCACGTGAAGGAAGTGATCCCCACCGAAATCACTCGAACATGACTAGGCTTTACGGAACACAGTTCGACTTTTAGGGAGCACAAGTTACAGATACACCCTGGATGCTGCAACTGCGGCCTTTCAAAGCGTACCTCGTACAGCTCTTCCTCTGTGGTGAAATAATTCAAATTTCCAACATAGACGGCGCGAGAGCTCTGCACAGCTTCCTTCCAGTCTTCCAGAGAAGTACAAGTTCGTCTGTCGTAGTAGGTGGGCACCTTCTCTAGGCCCTCGTACAGCTCAGCCATTCTGACTTGAACAGGTTAGGCCGGATCCACTTGGAATACATGCGGCCCTAAACTCCACATTTGAAGGGATATCACAAGTTGTGGCTCATTCAAAAAAGGGAATTAAGATACGATGGATGCAACGAGGAACAAAGCGGAAATTTCGTGGACTTCTGTCTGCGGCAGCCACGCATGCATGCGACCCAGTGGTCGGCAGAAATCGCAAAAGCGGCAAAATTGCCCATATTTTCAAGTAGAAATATTACCTTCGACAATTTTTCCCTGCAACAAACACTTGAACCCCGAAACTTCGTCCGACTGCCCCTACCGAGTTCGCCCGCCATCGGCGCCATTTACTGCAACGGCGTGGTGAGCGTTTTAAGACTACTATCGAAGAAGAATGCTCTATGAGAAGACAAAGGGACTTCTTATGCTCAATTCTTGTGCTGTATAAAGCGCTACTTCGCATACTCTGAGGCCAGCATTGCCCCGTTCACATTTCCGCCGTGCCGTGCTCACTGTACTTCCAAACTTCTTCCGCAAGAGAGAACCGATTCTGTAGAGTCCTCAAAAAGAGTTCCTCAATTTTGTTTCTGAAAAGGCATTACTTAAGCCAGCTACCCCCCACTTGTTTCCCCTTCAACAGCACCGCTTGCCGCCGCCAGCAGCCGTGGATCTGAATGCGAGTGGAGCAAAACTGGACTCCGGGAAAGGAACGATAAAAGCGCACAGCAGCTAGAAGGAGAAAAAATGGGGTACCTGGGGTCTTCTGCTCTGGCAATAGGGGCCTTTGCAGCGGTTCTGCTGGCCATTATAATTGCGTTTCACGATTTGGCTCTTGAAAAACTCAGAAAGTACTGCACCCCAACGGCCCAAGAAGCAGAGTGGGCTGCTGCTTATGTTGAAATTGATGAAGAAGACGTTGACGTCCTCGACTATGGGGAAGAACGACTCGGGGTACTGAATGCGTCAAACACCAAAATATAGGCTTTCATATTCCAATCACTCCTCTAATTGCTGCTGGCCTGCTCCTTAGATGCTTCTTGTTCCCTTCCGGATTCTGCGCAAGTAGAACCCAGAGGGGAAACCACGAGTAGCTGCATGTGCTTTTCAGCGTCAGGCACTAATGCGAAGTGTCTGTTGCTGTAGAACATATGAAGCGTTGGACCTCTGGCCTTCTGCGTTGAGGGGTTGATTTCTTCGTACTTTGCCGTGGTCTCTTCGTTCTGTTGTTGCGCTTCCAATATATATGTTTATACACTACATATCTATTGTGTGTGTGTGTGTGTGTGTGTGTCTGTGTGTGTGTGTGTGTGTGTCTGTGTGTGTGTGTG